CAGGGGCAACGCTGATCTGCGGTGTGAACTTCAGAAAGTCATCTCCTCTCTGCCTCAGTTTCCCAATCAGGCAAATGGGGATAACAATCGGGGTTGCGGGGCAGATGCAGACTGTGTCGGGGCTCTCGGGAAAAGCCGCTCTCATTCAGGTTGTTGGTGCGGATTCCACACAACTTCCGTGGGGCTCTCGTGCACCCCCTTTTCAGCTGAGGAAACTGAGTTAAGTAGAAGTGGTTGGTTCCACGTCCTACAGTTAAAAAGTGGCAGGGCACGGTTTTGAACTCTGCTTTTGGGCTCAAAAGCTGCATGGCTGACGGCTAACTGTGCAAATGTGGCAAAGAAGTGCTACGGTGAAACAGGCTGGGGGGGAGGGGTTCAACACACATTTGAGACGAATTGTACCCTTTCCTATGTGATTCTCCCCTTCTCCTGAAGCTGTTCGGTAGTCTCCATAAACATTAGAATGAACTGAAGCAACAGTCATCGGACAGTTTGAGGCTTTCGTTTTTACCCCTTGACATGATTGGATGACGGCTCTGATCTGAAATCACTGTGCTCGTATTTATCATCGCTGCCACGCAGACCCTGCGTGATTAGCTCTTTACAAGATGTGTTTGGTCCAATGACATTTTCATTCAAATGCGTAACCCAATTTCTTTCTCCCCTGCGTCAAGTGCTAAGTTGAAAACACAGCCTCTTAGATGGCCACACTTCGTAACAGCGACAAGTGCTTTAATTACCTCGGTGCTCGCACCAGCAGAGGTTCTCTCGGAAAAAAAAAATTCGTGTCATTCTTTTCGAGTGGCTCATTCTGTTTGCAGTAGAGGCAGTAAACGGCTGGCGAGGAAATTAAATTCTGACAAACTTTCTCTCAAACACTAATTGAAATGGAATAGAATGCCTTTGATGAAATGCAATCAGAAATGACGCAGAATGTCAGTCTGCAAAGGAGCAAAAGCAGCCCATGCTGACCCTCACACAGTGGATGACCAGACTGGGAGGGCCAGGGGCACCAGGGCAGCGGTGGAGGGCGTGGGAGGGGTTTCCGCTCCTGAAAGATGACAAACCCCAGGGATGTGTTTGTATGAAGTCACCGAGACCTGAACCAAAATGAAAGCTCATTTTACAAAGATGACCTGGTTCTCGTCCAGACTTTATTTTTCGTAGGATAAATTCACAGGGAAAGAGAGCAGGGTTCTCGAGAGATCTCTATACCAAGCAGGTTCACGCTCCAACCCTCTGGGCATGCGGGAGGAGCCGGGGGCATCACAATGCACAGATGGGTCTGAGCAGCTCTGTCCCTCCCTGACACTGAGCCAGAAAACATGGTCATCCCCTACATATGCCGTGACATGGAGAAGGCAGGGGAAAAACAGTCACAGAAACATCGCAGCAGACCACTACGTCTACGTAAGGACGTGCAGGCACCTACACACCTCACCTGTATTTTTAGTGCTAGAAGTTTGTTCTAGTATGTGTAATATTTGAAAACAATCCACAGATCTAGAAGTCTGTCCTGAAGAGCAAAAAATGAATATATGAAGGTGTTCATGTTGGGATTGCCGTGAAAAATTGAAAACATCTTAAACGCAGTAACATAGATAAATTATAAATCCATGCTATGAAATGTCATGCAGCTCTTTAAAAAGGCATTTTCTTTATGACCTTATAAAGGGTCGTTTATACTGTGAAGTGGGAAAAGCAAGGCAAAATTGGGTAGATGACACCAGGTTTGTCAACCAAATTTAGGTAGTACCCTCAGAAAATAAAATTAGATTATACACACAAAAAGGGAATGTATTTGTTTCAGGACCATAGGATTATAATCCTGTACTTCTTCAAAAACTCTTTTAAACAAAAAACAATGTGATTTATAAAATGGCAATTTGAAAACAATCTTTAGTATATTCTAGAAATCTAGAAACCTTAAGAAAAATGTCTGTTGGGGTCATTTAGTTTCTACTCTATGCCTGCAGATTACATGTTTGGGAACACAATATAGTTGTCTTCTATGATTCTTTAAAAAATTAAATATACAAATCACATCGAAAGACTTTCTTCCTCTGCAGGTAAATGACAAAATGACGAGACCAACTGCGATCCAGTGCTGTCTGGTGATGATCTGAACAGAGGTAAACCCTGTACAAGCAGGAACGTCAGCATGAAAATTCTAAAGGGCGCCGTCGTGCGTCTACGCGCCTGCGTGGGCGGCCCGCGATTTGGCGGGTTCTGCGACCCGCCCTGCGTCCCGCGCAGAAATACTAACCCGCAGCCATGAAGCTGTGTTGAACGCCTCTTGGGGTTTATTAATCATGAAGTACAATGATTAATAAAGCACCTTTCAAAACTCTTATAATGCTAATCTTTAGAAGTTTTAAACCACTGTTTGAATCATTCTGCTTAACTTGAGAATGATCCCAGACTTATTAGAGGAAACCAAGAAGAGTGGTATCAGTGAGTGTGACTGCCAGCATCTGGCACGCAGCAAAAAAGTTCAATGAATAGTTGTTGGATGAATGAAGACACCCAGAACCCCTTGTTTAATGCACGAAAATAAGTTACACGAGAAGAACGTTCAGTATGCTCTTGTCTTAATTTGCCACGGACTTTCAGCAGCAGCAATGCAACCTGGGGATCAAGTTATACGGTCTTCAAGTTACTCACGCCCACCTCCTGAAAGCTCTCTTGAACCAGGAGGCTCTCGATCCCAAGCAGGGGGCCTGTGCCCAGCTCCCGTTGAGGGCCCTGCCCCCCTCCTCCCCAGGGGAGACCTTGCTCCCCTACACCCTCAGACCAACCAAGGAAAAGAACTCAAAAGGTTCAAAGGTTCTTCTAATCCCTGTTGATAACCTGGCTACTAATCTGTGTTTTAATTACAAGTTAATTACAGCAGGCAGAATTCCACGGCAGGTTATTTTGGCTGTTCAAAGCACTGATTTCCGACGGCTGTCCCCTGCTGCTTTCGTTACAAGGAGTATCATATTTCTGCCCAGTTTCCCCTCTTGGAAATCCAGAACAGGGAAAGGGGTGGGGGGAAGTTAAACAGTTCCATTCTCAGTGCAAGTAAGAGGTTACTACTGTTCACTCTAGGCCCCACACGACAGCATCTGAAGACGAACAGACGGGAAGGAAGCCGACCTGGGAGTATGCCGGGGAGCGGGCAGCGATTTTTTATGCACCCTGGGAAGTGGGGGGCCTGTGGGGCGAACGCCAGGCATCTGCCTCTTTCAGTACACAGTTCGATCCCAGATTCTCAGCTCTGTCCCGAGCAGGCCTGGCGACAAGAGGCCAGGAGGAGGGAGCACAAAAGCTCCCGTAACCAAGAGCTGGGGCCTAAGTGTGCCAACTTGAAAACCAGGACAACATGTCCCACGCAGGGAAAGGAAGGTCCTTCCCCTGGAGAAACCGAGACTCTTCCAAGAAAAGATCTCTAGTTCGCAGCGAAGATTTCCTAACAGCCGAACCACGTATTAAGGGGCATTTTGCGAATCCATGAGAAGCCACACTCGTCTTCCCTCTTTTCTTCAACTTTCTTCCATAAAAGACCTCGGGGCTGTTATGTTAACTGTTCTCCTGACTGGAACGCTCATTTCACGTGGCAGTCTCCCTCATCGACGTCCGCATTTTGTCCGAAGGCCAGTTAACCATGGAGGTCTTCTGCTTTCCTGACATTTTCCCCTCCCCTCCCAGGCCCATCACTTGGGTTCCTTCCCAAACACCAACTTGTCCCTTTAGCCTTCACTCCGGCTCCCCCCACGCCCGCCCGGCCGTGTCACAAACCCAAGGCAGGGAACTTCCGTCCTTGCAGAATAAATGATGCACGGTAGATGACTTAAAGACATTTTTCGAATAAATTAATGAGATGGTCACAAATTTGCAAAAAATAAGTAAAAGAAAAATGAAGAAAGAGTTGCAAAGGAAATGGAAATAAATATCATGTATTACTTAGCTCAACAGCGAATATTTACATCATCAGAACAATGAAAACACTATATATGGGTTAGTCTAAAAACTGTATTGTAACTAGTGGGAGGATAACAAGAGTAGCATAGGTTTTTCTAGGTTCTGTGGTTTCCTCTAACATCGCACTGAGTCAGCAGATAACCCCTAAAGTTAGTGACAAGAAGTAAACAGTATATACACTTAAAAATATTTAAGAAAAAAATGGGGAAACAGCTTACAGGGTATGATTATAGAGCGCATGAACTGGCTGGTTTTTGTTAAATATCTCTCTCTTTGATGTTAAACCACACACACACACACACACACACACACAATTTGATAAAATATAGAATGCTTTTGTGTTTTTCCAAAGGTCTAAGAATACTCAATTCTTTTTAATTCATAGCAAAGTGGCTGGTACACAACAGATACTGAAAAAATACCTGTCGGATGGACGAGAGGATTTGACAGTATAAACACCCATGGAAAATAGCTTCTGGACTTCCCATTACGTAATATAAAACACAATCAAATGAGTTCTTTGACAACAGATAAAATGCTTCACAAAGACTTTGTTTTTGATATAAATCATAGGCGGAAACCATAAAAGCATTAAATTATGGCTAATAAAGAGTAACAAGATAAAATGTGTAAGTCAAAACTTTCTTAAGGTTTTAAAGAACGTTTATTATATAAGAGTGCTGTTTACTTCTCTACCTAGAATTCTGAGCAGTGTCCCACAGCCACACACTGCAACCTAGTGGCTCCCTCTGCAAGCACTGCCTGGTGCTGGCAACTGGGAAGAGACTTCACTTCTAAGCCACACAAAGCTGTGTCTCTCTCCTTCCTTCCTTCCTTCCTTCCTTCCTTCCTTTCCTTCCTTTCCTTCCTTCCTTCCTTCCTTCCTTCCTTCCTTCCTTCCTTCCTTCCACCATCCATCCACCCACCATCCATCCATCCACCATCCATCCATCCATCCATCCATCCATGCATCGTTCTCAATTCCTTAACTAAATCCTGAACAGGAGTATACATGAAAGGAAAATAGGCAGTAAAGCTACAGTATTTTATTAATAATTTATTGTCAGTAAGAAAGACTGGCTAATGGTAGTTCTCAGTAAAAACCTTTACAAGACCGTTGCATCACAAATATACAGACACTATAAAAACTGTGTCGTGATGGTCTGGGTTCTAAACCGGTGTGCAGAAGGTCCCCGTTACACTTTCCAATAATGAAAAATGTCCGTAATTCTAAAATACAACAACCCATTTAAGACATGTCATGGATCAGATCTCTGCTCATCCTATGTACAACTAGAAATGAATGACTACATTGCATTGTATGAATGAAATGTCAAACTTCAGTGAAAAAGGACATACAGTGAAACCCTGGTTATAGTAAAAAGATCAAGGTGCTAGGTAAAATGACTCTAACACCACCCAAATTCGGTAAAAAAAAAAAGAAAAGAAAAACCCACAAAACATCAGGAAAACAGAGTTAAAACTATGAAAAATCAAATCTGTACATAACATTTACAAAAAAAAAGGGACAGGAAATTTAAAATAATCAAATCTATATAAATACATGAGTCATGCTAACAAGATGGTAAGGACCGATTTGCGTTTCATTCTTTTAACACGGACGAACGTAAATACAAAAACCTGTTCAGAAATGGCACAGCCACCGGACACCTCCTCCCAGGGCAGTAGGTCAGGACGGGGAAATGGCTGGCGCGCCGGGGCGCGCGGGGTCTCTGTCGTCTGCGGGCTCGCCAGGTCCAGGCACTTCGGGGGCAGGGCGCGCGTCAGACTTCCGTGTGCTGCTGCAAATCGAGCGGGGGGACGGCCACGTCCTCGAAGTGGCCGTCGTCTCCGCTCTCGTAGTCACTCATCAGCACCTCGGACTCCACGTCGCAGCACGCGGACACGTCGGAGCAGGACGCGGTGGAGGCGTACACCGCCAGGGGCACGCTCTCCGCGCCGGGCGCCTCGCAGTTCCTCGGGTACCCGGGCGGGTAGGGGGCGTAGGGTTCTCGGCACGGGGCGCTCTCGCCGGGGCCGGCCTTCTGAGCTTCGGACACGTCGACGGGGTAGAAACTGGGCAGATACTGGTTCAAGTGAAACCGCTGCCGGCTTCGGGAGGACGAGCCCAAGCTGCCCGCGGCCGGCATGTCTCTGGGAGGGTGTATGCACTCGAACTGCTCGCTGAACTCGGGCGGCAGCGGGGGCAGTTCGTCGGGCACGGGGAAGTCCTCTGGCGGGGGCGGGAAGTCGCTTTCGATGTCGTAACCCCCGGGGTAATAGTCTGTGTCGATGGAATGGGGGTCTGCGGAGTACAGGGGCGTCTGCTCGTCGATGACCTCGTAATTGGGGAACTCCTGAATGTCTGGCAGGGGAACGCTGGGCATCCAGTCCGACGTGTCCCAGTGGTAGCCTGCGGTGGGGAGAGAAAGCGACAGGTCTCAGGGTTTTCGTCCAGGTCTCTGCGCCCTGGGGCGAGTGCTCAGTGCGCAGGCCTCGAGCAGGGCAGGCTCGTCATTTGGAAAACCCCGGCCTTAGCTTACAGACACCCCCCCAACTCCAGCCCCGTTTAGAGAACCTCCGTGCACTAGGCTCGCTGGATAAAACGTGGGCTTCCAGGTCTACGGAAGTGCCTAACGTTCAAGGACACAGAGTTTTCACAGAAGCAGTGCGCTAGCATCCAACGCATGCACTTTTCTACAAACGAGTCCGATGGTTGGGCTTTCCTTCCGTGACGTAGCGCCTACTGCTCTAGAGGAAGAGACTTAGCTCAGTCTCAGGACATCAGTGAGAACCTTCAGTCCTTTCCTAAAGAAGTCTCGTGCAGTAAGATGTCAAATGTCACTTGATCGCCACTAACTACAGGTCATTAAAAGCACTCATTAATGCAACTCTTTAAAATAGTAATCTTTAACATGCGAAAATTTAAATTCCCTATATAATAAAATAATGCACTAAGCTTACTATAGAACATTATACTATTTTTCATTAGCCCCACAAAAACAATGAACTATATTAATATAGGTGTGCATCAAAGCATGCTTCCCAGTCAAGCAAAATGCAATCAAACACCAAAACATTAGTTTTGACAGACCACATGAATCAATTTTTGTTGCTTTAAAAAAGTCTAAAGATCATTTTAGATGATATGAAAGTATGATTATGTTTTTTTCAAAACTGCCCCAATGCAGGGCGAGTTTTCTTTCTCCCTCAAGGTTTCTGCAAGCCCCTGACAGACTAGGAAAGGCCGGGCAACCGCGTCTGGAATGCAGGGCACAAACGGGGGAGGGGGGGGAGGTGCTTGGTTACTGCGGCAGCCACCGAGCGAACGCATGGGGTGAGCCAGCCCCGCGGCCGATCTTTCCCGAGTTTTAGTGAGTATCAATGAACAACTGGCATGCATAAGTCACCTCTTGATTTGCTGAGGTCGGGAGCAGCCAAAGACTCTTTTGGTGGCAGAGTAGAGAGAAAAGAAAACATTCATAATTAAAACAGAAAGACGGCTGAAGAGGCAATAACATTAAGTACATAATACAATGCAAACTGTCTACAGAGGCCCAGCCAGCCGTGTACCATGCCTTTGAGCCACTAGCTACGGAAGGTCCGAATGGCTGAGAGATTCATGTGACACAGACGTGACGGGACATGAGAATGGAGACACAAGATGGCTGAGGAGGAACCGGCGACGCTGCCGGAAAACGCAAACGTTATTTTACTTTCTTTTCCTTGTTTCTGGCAATCTAAGCCTGAAAACACAGAATTTTGGAATAATTAAAATAAAATATATAGGCTCGAATACAATGTCAACCAACTGAGAAAATTAAATTATACCTGCATGTTACCGAGAAATGTACTATGCAACACTCTTTTTTGCCTCATACCAGGGAGCATTGCCTTACTTAGGTAGTAATTCAAATACGTCTAAAGCTACAGAATACGTACTTAATAAAAATATTATAGCCTTCAAGTGGATATTAAACTCGGAGACATTCAAGAACTTAGCTACTTAAAAGTAACTTAAAGTAGCCCTCTCGAAACCCCGCCCCCCTTTTGAGTAGGAGTTATTTATATTGTTCGCCTTTCCTTGGGGGGACCACGTGCTACACTCTTCCTCGTGCCACCCACATCTGGAATTACACCTGCCCTCTGTCCGCTCTCTTCTTAAACACAGAACCCCAGCCCGAGGGAAAGCAGATAAAAATCACTGGCCCAGGGCAGGCTGCTTACCCCGGCTAAGCTTCCGGCTCTTATCTTTGAAATGAGGGTGGAAATGCTGTCCAGTTCTTACGAGGACTAGGTAAAATAATGTGGGTCAAGCTCTAACTGCTGGCTGTCGCCGTGATTCTCATTATTGTGAGAACCGTAATCATGGCAGCAGTTTGGCTACCTGAGTGATTTTCTAAATGCTTTCTGTGCCTTCCACAATGTTCTTAAAAACCCATGTCATAGAGTAATTTGGAACAAATAAGATCTGACTGATGGTTTTCTTCCAGAAATTTAAATCAGAAACAGAAAACACTGAGGTTAACATGTATCTATATAATTTTTTAAAGTCTACTAAAAATGCAGTAGTTCCTTTTTAAAGAAGATTGACAACCTTTGTTAATAAATAGGCTCTCAATAATTCTTAACATTTAAGCTAGCTTTCAATTTCACACTCAATTTGTGTTTCTCAATGTGCCAAACCATGTTTTTCAATAAAGGGGGTCGCCCTGCAAGAACCATTTCAACTCTGCTTCTTCAAACTCCGTTAATATTAAAAATACTAGAATTTCATCACGTTAAAACTCAAGTTCACCAGGACAAAATACAGATTACTTTCTGATCCACCAGATAAAAACACAGTGTTTCTCAGGAAAATAAATGAAAGCCTCGTCAGTAACTCATCAGCAACACTGAACCCTCATGCCTGCTCCATGCCGTCAAACTTGGCACCAAACTGTCCTTGCTCTCACCTCAATCCTGAAAACAAACGTGCCCTAGCAAAACGGGCCCCTCTCCGCTTCACGTACTCTCGGCAGTCTATGCCGAGGGCGCCCGAAGTATGATCCCCGGACCAGTAACGCCAGCATTAACGGGGAACTTGTCAGAAACGCACACTCTCAGGCCCACTCCAGACCTGCTCAATCGGAAACTCTGGTGCTGAGGTTCAGTCGCTAGGGTGCTTGTACCAAGCCCTCCAGGCCATCTGAGTTACTGTTGTTGAAACACTACAGGCCGGGGTGTCAGACTCATTTTCACTGGGGGCCACATCAGCCTGGAGGTTGCCTTCAAAGGGCCGAATGTAATTTTAGGACTGGATAAATGTATCTAATTACCCTTAACAGTTAAGCCAGAGCTCGGTGCTGCCCCCGGGTAGAAACAAGGAGGAGGGCCGGATTCCACCCTGGGGCCTTGTGTTTGCCACCTGTGCTCTAGGCTGTGCAATTCGCCTCCAACTTCAGTACAGTACGAAAGGGCTGATTTAACTTCAAATAACTTTAAGGAGGGTGGTCAATGCCCTTTCTTGTAATTTTGGACAGAAATATGACAGTCTGCCTTCTGCCATGTTCAACCCCTTTCCTCAGTCACACGTGGGGAAAATGCAAAAGTGAAGAGTCAGCTGGTGGAAATTACAGAAGCTGTGTGCTACTCAGTCTCATTCCTACTCAGGTGAGCAGGAGTTTTTTAGATGAGAGTTTTTTCAGGTAATCAGAATGACTTCTAAGCTTCTTAACACTGGGCCACATAAGGCAAGCTGGGTTACCTCTGACATTGCGGAAATTCACCACGAATGACAAAAGGTGACAAAAAGACAACACGGACAAAGGCATTTTTGCGATGGATCTGGATCATGAATACACACACCTGCACAAAGGAAAAGGACTCAGCCCCCCACGCCCACAGGTGATTACTAGAAACACCACGAGAGGCAAAAGCACACGGCTCTAGCGACAGCCACTGTCACACAGACACAGAGCACACGCATTCCCACTATACCTTCGTCAGTCACCGTGTCAACTACGGCGTTGACAAGGTGTATTACAGTCACTATGGAAGCTTGTGAAAAGGTACAAATGGGGCAAATTAGGAAAACCTTCATTAGAATACAGTAAATTAAATAGGATTTCTTGACATAATTTTTACCTCCTGATTTTAAAATGTGAAGCAAATACTTTAACATAACTATTGTACATAATACAATTGGGCATGATTCCTGCGCTTTTTCTGTTAGTCTTTTCTAATGAAGCGACATACTTGTTATTATTTCATTATTTATCTTAATTTTCATATACTTTTTATTATTAAAGGAACAGAGTAACCATATTACATTGTAATTTAGGAAATTTTTTAAAAAAATTTAAATTTATTTTTAGAGAGGGGAAAGGGAAGGAGAGAGGGACAGAAACATCAATGTGTGGTTGCCTCTTGCATGCCCCCTACTGGGGACCTGGCCCACAACCCAGGCATGCGCCCTGACTGGGAATCGAACTGGCAACCCTTTGGTTTGCAAGCTAGCACTCAATCCACTGAGCCACACCAGCCAGGGCTAATTTAGGAGACATTTTGGCTATGTATTTTTTTACAATTATAATTATGGATCAGTTCATAACAAAATAATTCTCACGGGCAAAGGCTTTACCTTCAAAGAGTAAAACACTTGCTAAGACAATTTTCGGGGTCCATTTAATGAACTCCTACATAGTTCCAGGAAAAAGAAATTTAAAAGACTACATAATAAGGAAAAATATGCAATAAATAAAAAGTGGAGGTCGGGGGAGGCGGGATGAGACAGAGGGCTTTGTCTCTGTTTTATGTGCTCCCTGCCCAAATTTCTTGTCTTCCTATAGACGAGCTAACAGCTGGGAAGCTAGCACACCAGCAGAAAAATGCAGACTGTCTGCCTGGCCGCCTCCGATGTCAATTCCCTCATTATTCCCACATCACATTGTTTCCGAGCGTTTACGGCCAAGACAAATAAGCGCGCCCGTGGGAGGCAGGAGGGAGGGTCTCAGAGGTGGCCACATCCCGACCCCGGGAACCAGGAGCAAATGTTACCATCCCTGGCAGGAGAGGCTCTGCTGGATCGGTTACATGAAAGACCTCGAGATGGGAAGATTTTCCTGAATGATCTGTGAGGGCCCTGGGTAATCACGAGGGTCCTCCGAAGGGGAGGGCCTTTCCCAGCGGGGCTCGGAGGGAGAGGTGGCTACAGAAGGAGGACCGGTTAGATGCAATGTAGCTGCGTTGCTGCCTCTGAAAGGCGGAGGGAGGAGCCGTGAGGCACGAGTGTGGGCGGCCTGGAGAACCTGGAACAGGGAGCAGGCCGAACCCCGGATCCGTCAGAGAAGAAGGAGGCTCAGGCTCAGGCCGGCCCCACGGACTGAGCCTGAGCCAAACGTCAGGTTTCTGGCCCCCAGAACTGCAGGCACCACGTGCACCTTGTTTCAGCCACCACGCTGGTGGCAGTCTGCGACAGAGCCTTAGGAAACTCAGAATGTAATTTAAGTGCAGACGCTTAACACAGACTTCAATTTACCACTGATAACGATAAAAACTAGGATAAAGATTAAAATACCCTCCCCTGGACCTACTTTTCCCCTCTCACATTGTAGTATCTGGCAATTCATGTTTATAACTAATTTGGCCATAATGCATTAACATTGGTTAGGAGTTTTAAAAAGAATGATGTTCCAAGGAAAAGAATTAGAAAATACAACAGATTCTGAAGTGTATTTGTAAAGAACATTTAGTGAATCAAGATATAAATAATTACATCAGCTGGCAACTATAGCAGTTTAGAATTAAACCTAATCCAAAAATAGTTCTATTCTATTGTTGGCTTAAAGCTATGTTCATATACTGTGTCACTAAGTAATAAACACAGGTACACTTCGATGTCACAGGTAACATGTTTGAAGTCAGCAATGAATGGAACATACTTATAGCCATGTTTAGTTTGGAAGAGTTAGGTTTGCAATACAGTCTGGGCCATATTACTCCAGATTTAGAAACAAAGAATTACTAGTGAGTTATTTCCTTTCACCAATAAAATATCAGAAGTGTTTAAACACGTTCTATTTTTATGCAAAGAAAAATTACAGTGCTACCAAAATTCTGAGATTTGAAAATCTCCTCTAAAACCTCACTTGACTGTGTCAGTGATCACTGACAGTTTTCTTGGGGGGCGTATGTCATTACGGCAGAGCTGGTTATCGACGCCACGCACCCCGGGGAAATCAGACACACGTAACCGGCATCGCGGATCCCACCGTCAAACTTGCTTCGTTAGAAAGATAAGCAAACTTACTAGCAATCTCTTAAATTGCGCTCTCAGTCAGTACGCTCTGATCCAAATGGGAGCTGGGGCCGCAGGGAGTTGGGAAGAAACAAATAAAGCCTTGTAATACCGAGGGTGCTACAGAGTTAACACTGCAGACGACCCCGCCTCCTCTGAGGGGCGTGGCAGAGGGCAGGAGTGCAGGCGTGGGTGCTGCATGCTCAAGGAAGCTGTTAGGAGGGTTTTTTTTTTTTTACCCACAGAACTTCTAACATTTTCCATTGTGGGAAGAAAAAACCCAATACGAAGTTGGCCAACAGGGTAAAAAATTACCTTTCAAGTGCTTACATGTTCTTCCCTGTCACAGGTAAGTTGCTACAGGTCAAGTATCAATCCATTACACACAGTTTCAATATTCCCCCCGAGATGTTCATGCAAGTATTTATAAGGTGTTGCTGAACCGTGGTCCAAAGTGACACGTGGGGACACTCTGACACGTAACAAGGGCACCGGGTGCACCATGGTAGTGTCCACACGCAAACACGACATGGTGTGACCGGCGTCACGCACGATCCGCGCGACCGCGGCGGCCCCCACTCCCGCGCACTCACCATTGTCGTCGCACGACTCGGACTGGAAGGAGCTGAGGGACTGCACCTCGGACAGGCTCTCCCGGGCGCTGTACGGCTGCGAGGGCTTCTCCTCCAGGGGCTTCTTGGAGAGGCAGGGATCCAGATCCACCACTTTCGCTGCGAGGAAGAAACGACACACAGGAAGCCCGTGAGGGCACGGCCTGGGCGTCCGGCATTCACTGCTGGGCCCCGACCCCAGCAAAGGTGACCAAGACCGTCTGAGATTTACTTAATAAAATAACAACGAAAAAAAGGAAAACATTTGAAAAACAAAACACAACCCCCTCCCCCAAGAAAACCCAAATGAAAATACCTGTAACATTCCTGCTTATTCACAGGATAGAAAATTCTCAATAAACCTACCCATGGAGATCATTAGATACTACGGGGAAATAAAATTTTGTCTTGAAATGCTACGTAGAGCTTTTTGAAAAGCCTCAAATACATGTTAGGCCACTAACATAAATACAGAGTGAGTACAATTAGGCTGCCAGCTGTGAGTGACATTCTTCTGAATTAGTGAAGCTGTTATAATAATCATAACCTGCATGTCTTCCTCCACACAAACTGAAAACCTACTTTTGCCTACCCTGTACTGTCACTTCTTTTGGCCATGTTTTTTTAAAAAAAATGTTATCATGCAAATGCCCTCCTAATTGTTTGAATCATAAAAAGACCCACTCCCCAAATTATAGTTGGGAACCCATGTCAATTACCGAAAAAAAAAAAGAAAAGAAAAGAAAAAAAAAAGGAAATGATCTTTCCAGATTCGCTGGAACAGGAACAGATTCAATTCCTTAATAAAAATAATATTACAGCCACAGTGCTCAGCCAGGGTTCGAGGCACCAGAAAAGCTTCTCAAACCATTCAGGGTCTCTCGAGCGTATCTGTCCCTATCACGGACCCCAAACACCAGAGGCGCGCGCTGGTGGAACTTGGGGTCGCACTGTCCCTCTCGGGGACACTTAGCTGAGATGGGAGAGGCGGTTCTTACTGTCGTAGTCGAAGTCCCAGCTGGGCTTCTGGATCGAGTCGCTGTCGGACGGGGAGTTGGAAGGCGGCGGGGGTGGCAGGTTTGGGGCGACGCTGCAGACGGCCACGGCCTTCCGGTGCCCATGCACGGACTCGGGGTTAAAGGTGCTGAACTCGGGGTGCTCTGGGATAGCAGAGCCCTCGAAGGAATTCCGGTCCAGGTTGTTCCTGGAGTCACTCGGAATGCTCGGCGTGTAGGAGATGGGGCGCACAGGCACCTGGGGTGGGATGTCCGAGTAGACGTTCTTGTTGAGCTTCGCGTCGAAGTACGGCCTCTGCATGAAGGCGGCGGCCGGTCCCAAGTGCTTGTCTCCGGGCTCGGCCTGGTGCTTCTGCTTCTTCTTGCGGCCGACCATCTTGCGGCAGAGCACAAACACCACCGCCAGCAGGAAGATCCCTATGACGAAGACCACGATGCCCACGCCCTCGGCCAGCCCGATGTTCCACGGCGTCGACACGTACTGGTTGGGTGCTGCGTCCTCGCAGTGCCTCCCTCGGTACTCCTGGCTGCAGTTGCAGTGGTAGGAGCCGTGCGTGTTCTCGCAGAGCGCCCCGTTCCGGCAGGGGCTCCCGGCGCACTCGTCCACGTCGCTCTGGCACCTGCCCGAGAGCCGAGAGTGAGGACAGGCCCGCGCGGTGGAGGCCAGGCTGCGTCAGGCCTGTCGCCACCCGCCAGACACAAAGGACTAGCCCAACCCCTTCGGAACAATAGGTTTCCAAACAGAGTCCAATAGACAACCACCAGAACCTCACCGCCCACAACAGTAACTACAACAAGAAACCTTTCGTGGGGTAATCGCTCATTTGTTCCTGTATTTTGAATGTCCATCTGGGAGATAAACATGCGGTCAAGCCAATATTTAACTGCCATTTCTCCCTAGAAAAAATTACTCCACAGATGACTAAGTCAGACACACTGCCCCCACACCAGTTTATTTCTCATTCTGATCCAGAAATTTCTAATGCACCTTTTCACAAATGGCATGCTGTAAACTGTTCTAAGAGGTTAGATTAAATTTCTAGGAAAATCTCCCTACAGGGGGGATTATGACAGTTTCGTGAAACATGTGAACAGCTAAAAAAAAACCTGTTTTCCATTTTCAAGTGCCTCTCCCTGTGGGAAACCTCCCCAGGCCCTCCCCCGCTCAGAACGGTTCCCAAGCACGTCCCCTCCCCTCCGCCTTTCCCGACCGGCATGTCTGCGCCAGTGCAGATCCATCCGACACTTCTCAAACTCCTCCTCCTCCTCCTTGAATATAAGGTTTCTACTCACCGCCTCCCCCACATTGACCTGGCATTACAATTCTGACTATGGAGACGGTTTTGTCCATTACATTAAGTATTAATGGACTAGAACTAGGAAAGTCAGCTTACGAACTAAGACCATGTGACCGGTGGGAAAATTCAAGGCTATACCCACGACTAGAGCGGGACCACAGGGGGCACCCGCCAGTGGTCACACCACTCACAGCTTCCTAACAAGACTGACAGTCAGGGGTCATCGAACGCCCAGCGCTGGGCCCTTATGAAGGACATTCACTGGGGAATTTTTGAAACTGAACTGGTGGTAAGTCTACGGTGACATGGCGTCTGCAACAAATTCCACCTCTCTCCAGGTGTACAAAAGGCACCGCTGTGCCTTCCTTTCCTCTCCTGGAAAAGACTGATCTCCTCTTAGGTCTGGGATAAGGTTTACAAACAATAACGAGAGAGCTGGAAAAGGTTTTCAGACGCCGAGTGTTAGTTACAGCCCATTATGAAAACATGCCACTATCAGCACTCTCAAAGACAGCTCACCACAGATGTCCGCTTTAACCACGTAGTAATAATCTCCCTCATCCCCCAGACATCCACTTCCTGCAAAAGCCCCCACACTCTGTGTTGACACATACTATCCTGAAAGCGCGGTTTGTTTTCCCAAGCATTATCATATTCATCTGCTCGACTTTTTTAAATTGCAAAGCTCAAAAAGATACACTGTGTCAGAAGCTAGTATGAAGATTAGCAAATTCCAAAGCAACGCTGTCCTGTCCGAATTAATTTCTGCAGCACCGGTGAACCCGCGTGACGTCACAGAGAGGTGGAAAGGAAGAAATGAAAGAGGCCGGTCACCTTTCCCCACGGAAGCCCGCATCACACTGACAGACGGCGCCGTCGAGGCTGTCGAAGCACGTCCCGCCGTTTTTGCAGGGCTGGTCCTTGCAGTACGGGCTGAGCTGGCACCTGAGGGACAGGGAAACACACGCGTGAACCTAACACTTCCACTGCGAATAGACACAGCAGAGCAGGAAATGTTCACAAACGAATGCACATGCTTTACCTACCCAGGGACCTTTAAAAAATTTTAAATACCATGGTTACTTATGAGAGTTAAAAAACACAGACACACACATACCTCTGACCAGTATACAGTCCTCTGCACTGGCAAACGAAGTCTCCGTTGTCCACGATGCAGGTCCCGCCGTAGAGGCACGGGTTGGAGGAGCAGGGGTTGGCGCTCACCTCACAGTACGTCCCCATGTAAGGGGCGCTGCATCTGCAGTGATACCCTGCGTCGTCGCAAGAGAGCAAAAAAGTCCTATCACTCAATGACTCAAAAGAGAAGCATGAGGAAATCGGTTTTTCCTTTTAAGTCGAGGTCAAGATTGAGTTCTCTTAAGACCTGTACGAGCTAGTAGCATTCCGTTCCCTCAAGGTCAAAGGTTGTCTGGACTGACCAGCCACTGCTGGTATAACAAGAACACGGAGAACCTGAGACGGACCTCCTAACCAGCCTTCGTTCGTCACAACTCACGTGAGGTCACTGGGCCCTGCGTGCAGAACAGGGAAGAAGTGGTCCTTTATCTGACTGGCCATGGGATGGCAACACTTACGCCTGCTTAACACCTCCCCTTACGGGCAGCTCCCAAGCTTTTAATTAAGGATTAAATGAGATGATAATAAATGGAAAAGCACTTTGAAAAGAAAGAACTACCCTTTTAAGAAAGGTGATCTTTGAATTTGCATAAAGGAGCAAAAGAAAAAAAAGTCGGACTCTTGGCTGTGCGAAGACTGGGACGGTGGGGTCCTGGGGAGCCCGTTCCCAGTGGCCCGGCTCCAGAAGATGGGGCGGCACTTCCCCCGCCACCCCCTGCCCCCACCGCCTGACGCGGGCCGCGGCCGTGGCATTTTCTCTGGCCAAAGAAAAGCGGCAGTTTGGGCGCCACTGCGTGGACTCCCTGTTCCCTTCCTCCTGCTGCTGCTGGGACGGGGACTTCAGGACAGCTCCTCCCTCGGTCCCTTCCCCGATGATACAACAAGGACAGCCTCCTCAGACAGGTCACAGGAGCGCAAAATCAGCTTTTGTTCAGCGTACTGCTGTGGGGATAGGCCGGCCTACTCTGTGAGTACGGAGAACAAGAGGAGACCAAGTCTTTTAAAAATCTCACTTAACTCAAGGGTCGCTTTGATTTTTGCTCTATTCATGACAAGAAAGCTTTACTCATCAAGCGCGATGTCGGTAATTTTCAGAACCGTGTTCTGTCACTGGTAAGTGGGCCAACGGGTCCGGGATGCAGAAGCCAGAGCATCCTCCACTATGCTAGGGCTTTGACACAGGTATGGAGACAGCTGAGGAGGGGGTAAGGCCATCACGAAAACCAATACTCAATTAAAGGGGGCACTCGAGAAGAACTAGGTGGTGCCAATTCTAAATCCCTCGGGTCTATGCCTGCGCCTGGAAGAGGGGTAGCTGTGGTCGGCCCGGGGCTGTCGGTGCAGAACAGGACAGACGTGACAGCAGAGCCCGGCCTGGCTGCTGGGAGGAGCTCGAAGCCCTGCTCTGCTCTCCTGTGTATAACTCATACCATTCAATGCCAGCACGGGAGCAGTATCTGACCATAGGATTTGAAGAAAAAGAAGAAACACAAAAACACGGGGGGAACTTCCTCTCCAGTGCACACACGTGCAACACTTACAAAATGATGACGCCAGGAAGCCTACCTCCAGCAGGTGAGGGGCTGCAGACGCCTCCGTTCTGGCAGGGGTTGCTGGAGCAGTCCTCCGCGCCCGTCAGCGAGCACCCCGGGGACACCCCCACCCACTCCTCGATGTGGGCGTAGCTCCTCGGTTTGGTGTTTAAAGGGAGCTCCTGCCCGTTCAGATAAATGGAGTCCATGCAACCCCGGAAGCCGTTCCCAACTTGGGGGCTTCTTCCGTGCCGCGTGCCTTGCTGGCGCACGTGGCCACCGAAGAACACGTGGTGATCCAGGTTCAGGGTCTTCAGGGTCCCCGGGGCCGTGCCCGACGCCGTGTGGACCTGGTCTAGGACCAGTCGAGCGTAGTTGCCGTTCACTTCCAGCGACACCGCGTGCCACAGCCCGTCGTTGACTTGGATGCTCTGCACAGACACGATGCCGGGGCCGCTCCCGCAGTCGAACTTGTACTGCAGCCTTCCGTTGTGGATCTACGACAGAGACAGGCACGGGTCACATTAGTCGCGCAGGGTCTTCGAGTCCAGCCTCTGGTCAAAAACCGGGAGGAGAGGTGTGGCTGGCAACTGAGGGCAGAAAGTTGGTAAGGCCTTGCAGGTGAGGACTACGGACCTCACGCTTGATGGTTCCCTGTACAAGTAATCACGGGCCTCGGGGATGGAAAGTTCAAGTGCCCACTACACAGCCAAAAAGCACCGGGAAGTGACTAATAACTGTTACCTGAACAACAACCAAAAATAGCATCAAGTAATATCAACAGTCCAAAGTTAATCATGCTTAAAAAAATAGAAAGCCAGGCAAGAGAATGACCACTTCAAGCTTACGCAGGATGTCTCTATAAAATTAGTAAGAGGTAGTATCACCGAGTTTACATGTTACCCGTCACGTGTACCTAAAAATGTTTGTGAGAAACAGAAGTAAATCTCCACACAGCGTAAAAAGCTTTTCACCCCACAGTCCCAAACCTGGATAGGTATTGATGAACTAGTTACGTGAGGAATTTAGCCAGTTTACTTCATTTTTTTCAAAAACGGACGACCTGAGCCTAAAGCAGGATTCGTATCTCTCCAGCCTCCCCGCACCTGCAGCAGATACGCACCTCCAGGATGCTGTAGTCCGTGCCCCGCGCGTACATGACCACCGCGTGGGCCGAGTACGTTCTGAGCCGCAGGGTCAGTTTCATCTCTAATTTGTTTTCATTTTCCTTCAGACGGTATTTCACAAAGCTGTTGCCGGTAAATGTTACAGATGAGCTCCCTGTGAATCGGAGAGGAAAAAATGAATCAGAACCGAGATGAAGCATATTTTTAAAAGTGTGATTGCATCCCCCTCAGAGGCCGACCTAAGTTTTTATTTGATTAGAATATTATAAAATTCCATTCAATGAGAAGTGTCTAGCTGCTTAATAAATAGCACAGCATAACTTGTTCTCCTTTTGGAAGAGAATTAGACTACTATATCACAAAGAAATAAATTCTAAGACGATGAAAATGCTGACTATAAAAATGTTCAATGTAAAATTACTACACGGCACTTTGGGAAAATAGTTACATGCCCTCAGGGTGGTTTGGGAAACCTTCTGAAACAAGATATAAAACAATCCGATCCGCCCAAATGATGAAAGGATATCAGTCTCCAGAGACAGAAACTGTAATATAAAATTATGCACAACTGACAAAATGGAAATTAAATTTCAAAATGAAAAAAGATGCTATTAAGCAAAATCAAAAGATTAATATACACAATGTAATTAAAAAGGGCAAAAGATCTGAATAGACACTTCTCCAAAGAGGACATACAGGTGGCCAACAGACATGAAAAGATGGTCAATATCACTAGTCACCAGAGAAATGGAAATAAAAACCACAAGGAGATACCATCTCCCACCTGTCAGAATGGCCATCATCAATTAAGTCAACAAAGTGTTGGCAAGGATGCGGAGAAATGGGGACCCTCACGCGCTGTTGGTGGGAGTGCAGGCTGGGGCAGCTGCTCTGGGAAGGAGCATGGAGGTACCTCAAACAATTAAACACGGATCTGCCTGTTTACCCAGTGATTTCACTTCTGGGAATTTATCTGAAGAAACCCAAAACAACCCCATGTTCCCTGCAGCATTATTTACAAGAGCTAAGATTTGGAAGCAGCCTACGTGTCCATCAGTAGTTGAGTAGATAAAAGAGCTGTGATACATTAATACAATGGAATACTTCTCGGCCATGAAAAGAAAAAAAATCTACCCATGGTTGGACCTGGAGAACACTATGCTAAGTCTCATAAGCCAGTCAGAGAAAGACAATTGCTGTAGGATTTCACTCATATGTGGAATATAATGAGCAAAGCGAACTAACAAGCAAAACAGAGACAGACTCAGAGAGCAGGCCAATAGCTCTGGGGGGGCAGGGTGGAGGGATGGAGCAGAAAGTAAAAAAAAAAAAGAGAGAGAACTCATGGGCGTGGACAACGGTACGGTGACTGCGGGAGAAGGGGGGTGGGTGGAGGTGGAAGAGGGTATGGAGGAACAACTAGCAAAGAAAAATTATGATTAAAGTATTTTTTTAAAAATAAAAAACAATCAATATCCAGGCAGCAGAATGCACATGAGAACAATGCAACGCACACAGAGCTCACACACGAAAACAAGAGACAGAACAACCCACACAGTCAAGGGAAGAATATGAGTAGGCTGGTCCCTGCAGGAAAAACACGAACAGGCGAAGAACGGATGAGAAGGTGACTCTCACAAGCAGCCCGAGAAGTGCCAAGTAACAATAATCAGATAAGCACTTCACGCCCATTAGAAGGGGGCATTTATTTTTTCGACTGAAAACCTTCAGTACCGGCAAGAGACTGGGGAATGAGACCTTCACACGTGACAAGAAGAAACAGGAACTGGTATCACTTTTTGGGAAACCAACACAATGGTTTACACTTCAAAATTCAAGTGCAGCTCATCTCTGATGTAGTAAGTCCTAGTTGTAGAAACGGAAGCACCAGTACCCGTAGGGAAACCTACACAAGGACTCTTTTTTCAGAAGGAAGCATTTCAACCACCTGAACCTCTGCTCATAAAGAAAAGGTTGAATCATGATGGTACAGCCCATATCACACTGTTAAACAGCGAAAAGCAGGCAGCAGAGGACTGTGAGATACGACTTCGTAGTTGCTTTTTAAAGAGAGAGGATGTGAGAGAAAAGGCCATTCGATCTGCACACACAGGTCCGTGTGTTTACACAAACCCTGATGAGAGAGGGAACGCTTCGAACCATCGATTCCGGTGAGTCATCACGTAACAGGAAGGAAAAATTACTACTATTACACTTTACTCGTCACTGTGCTTGACATATTGTAACAAACATAATTTTACCACGCTTTTTGACTCCGTTAAAGAAGATACGAAACACTCCAAGTGACTTTTTAGAACAAAAGTATGCCTCATCACTGGACTCTCACCTGGGCACTGACCCAACTTGCCACCTGGACAGACACAGGTGTACTTCTCCTCTCTGGGGTCAGCGACACATTCTGACCCCTCTGGGCACGGGCTGTCTTCGCATCCGTGATGGATAAGCGGGCATTTTCCCTCTTTAAGAAAAAATATATAAAGAAAAGAGGAGAGGAGGGAGAGCTAATTAGTAGAAATTTCAAGAGAAGGATGTCTCACGTGCAGCCTTCTAGGACTGCACCTGAAGCCATACTTGCATACGGCTGTGGGTGTTACCTTTGCAGAGACACACAGCCGCCCTCCGGTGGCGGGGAGTCACGAAACTCAGCCTGGCCGTGCTGTGTGTGGACATCACGTTTTCATCCACAGACACTTTCTCGTCACAGAATTTCCGCGGGCAGTCCAGCCCCGAGCAGAGCCTCTGGAACACATCCAGGATCCGGACACCGATGATCTCCTCGATGTCGGCCACGGACGCATTGATCTTGTGCAGGAGCTGCCTCGTCGACACCTGGGCACTTCCTGATCTCTCCACAAACAGCAGGACGTCCAGGTGGGGGTGCGGCTCCGCGGGCTGCAGGCTCACCACCTGAATGTCGCTCCTCCTCACACCCAAGACGTTGCGGAGCGCGCGCTGGAAGTTGCGCCAGTAGTCCCCAACAAACTCCTCCGGGGTGAGGTTGGCGAAGCGGATGGCGATGGTGTGGTTCAGCATCTCCTGTGTCACCTGCCGGACGTGCACGGTGATGTCGGCCACCGTGGTGAACTTCCCGTCCGTCACGCTGACGTTGAGCAGGTACTGCCCTAGATCCAGCTTCTTGTGTGCGATCAGCTTGCCCCCTGTGCTGGAAACGGAGAAGAGGCTGTCCGTCTGGGGGTCCAGACTATAGGTTAGAGTGTCGTACACGTCCTGGTCTGTTGCGTGAATCTTCCCAATGACGCCGCCTGAGTATTCCTCTCCAAAAGCAGTGATGAAAATCTCTAAGGGCAGGATGGCCGGAGGATAGACACTCTCTTCGATGACCCTGATGTCAATGTAGGTCAAAGATGACAACGGCGGCTTTCCATTATCGGCCACCTAGGAGAAAACATACACAAAAAAGTCACCACTGTGTCATTGTCAACAACTTCTTACAAATGTATTCACATCATTCAAGTTCTTAAAAATGACCAATTATCAGGTAGTTATTTCTCCACATTAAAGCATATTCTTTGTAGCCTTTTCACTAATTCATATTGAAATTGAGCTCCATGATAAAGTAACCAAATGAATCACTGAGCCCCTAAAAGTGCAGTGGAGGAGAAATGAAGGCAGGGAGAAATGAAAAAAAAAAAAAAAGACAAAATAATTCTACACATTTTTTGTTTTCTCATGAAATGTAAGCTGTTTACGTACAAGACAATAACCACCAAAGCTGCTCACTTCTAATGAATCCACAATGAAATCACCAAGAAGGACAGCAATACCTTCACACGCAGTAAGTAATGATCTTTCACTTTCCTGTCGATGGCAGCTGACGTCAGGAGGACCCCTCGCTGGTTAACCTCAAAGGTGCTGTCGTCATTTCCGCTCTCAATAGTGAAGAAGAAGGGGGGGCCGTTATGCGAAGAGTCCTTGTCCGTTACCAACAGTTGCAGCACACTGAAACCCACAGGCTTGTTTTCCTGCACACCATGAGACAAATACAGAAAGAAATACAACTTTCAACAAAACCAAACCTTCATGTTAAGAGACACAGGTGAGTTTTCTACAATGTGAAATGTATGAAAAGCAAAACGCATTGCTGCTCCATGTGAAAGGAGGAGAGACAAGAAGGGGGGGCTGTGATGAGGAGTGGGGGACAGAGGGAGGGGGCTTGTGTGGTGTGGGGAGGGAGTGGGAGAAGCGGAAGGATGAAGAAGCGGAGTGGAAGAGGGGAATGGAAGGAGGGGTGTCTGAAGGAGGAGCAGGAGGGAGGAAGGTCAAGGAGGAGAAGCAGGGACAGAAGACGACGGGAAGAATCAGGGTGGCGAGAGCACCTTAAAAAACATTTCAGACGAAGAACTGAGGCCGGTGAGAGAGCTCCTCCCCGAAGGGCTGCGTTCAGCGCCCCTCGGCACCCCAAGGTTACCTGGATGATCACGCTGTAGTTCTCCCTGGAGAAGACCGGCGCGTTGTCGTTGACGTCCGACACGTCGATGTTCACCGTGGTCGTGTTGGCTCTGGGTGGGCTGCCGTTGTCAGACGCCTGCACCGTCAGCGTGTAACCTGAAATCTTTTCAGAGACGAGACAAGGAGATGGTGTGTCCAAGGCCAGACAGCAGGGTTGGTCACACATGCCCTCCTGACAACCCAGAGGGGCAGGTCTGAACACCTGCCATCATTTGCTACGTCCGGTACGCAGGCGGGCAATTCCGCAGGCGGGCAATTCCCCAGCCTGCGCAAGTACACCGCCGCCAACGACGGGCCACACAACGGGCAGTGTCTGCGCCGCAAGAAGAGACACCCGGAGCTGGTTAGATTCTCTGATGCCTCTCAAATCTGTACTCACTCTGTTCCAACCTGAAAACTTTGTAGATCTAGTAACAAAGATTTAGACTGAATTTGTATGATGAGAAAAAAGAACGTTAACATGGCTAAAAGGCCATGGTACTAACAAGGAAAGTGACCTTCCCTGATGTCACCCTCAGCCGCAAGGGGACAAGCCTTTGAGCTGCTCCCCACCCTCGGGTGCTTACTGACTTTCAACGCCTCTCCCACCAACTTTACACTTGGACTGCAGTCAGCTGCCTACATTTTCAGAGATGATCTCTTCATGACTTCGTATGTAAAAAAACGGAGTCAAGTAAGACAGCTTCCTTCCCAGGGCAGCTCCTGGTTGGGCTGTCTCTCCCAGAACGAGGGGCGGGAGAGGCCGGGACCCTGCCCACACCCCGGGGCGTGCTCTGCAGAGGGTCAGTCGGGCAGTAACTCAAGCGGCAGAGGGTTCCAACGGGGACCTAGCTTGGGAGACACTGCTGGCCACCTCGTCTGCTACCTTGCGACGGACATTACTGGTTTACTAAAGGATCTGAGAAATTCTTCCGTGAAAAACACTAAATGTTGTTCTGCCCAGCAGTACTGCAATCCTAAACATCACGGTCGTGCTTCCTAAACTCCTGTCAACTTCCCACCCCAAAATAACAAGTCACTGTAGATTTGGCCCCATTTACCCTCCTCTGCCTTCCCTGCTCCCCTTCCCCCCGGGGAACCACCCTATTGTCGTCTGCATCTATCAGGTTTTTTGTTCGTGTATTTGTCTTGTTTGTTCATTTGTTACTTTCTATTTTATATCCCAGTAAGTTTAGTAAAATTAAAAAATAACAGGTCAGAAATGGAATTAAAGAATTGAGACTTCAATGAGATACCGCATCACTATCTCCCCCAAGCCTCTAATCTCAGACCTGCCCACTCTTGTTCCGGAACTGCATCCTGTATCATCACCATTGTCCTTCCAGCTCCCCAAACCAGGGCTTCCTTCCCGTCTCCACCTCTCCGAGGCAGCTCTGAGTGTGAGTGTGAGTGTGAGTGTGTGTGTGTGTGTGGGGGGGTGATTGGGTGGATGGATGGATGGATGGATTGAGGAAGGGGCGGGGGCATGAATGGATGGACAGACAGATGTTCAGCCTGACTGGCCTCACCTCATCTGCTCACATTTCTCTCGACACTTCAGATCACTTCTATAATCATCTCCAGAGGCATATGCCATATGTACGTACTTCCAGCTTTCAAGTCTCAAGCTTGACGAAAATCTCCAGAGAATGGCTGAATAATTTTACTCAAATATGCCATTTCCTTCTAAAAGCTAGTGTATCAAAACAAAACCACAGTCAGCCTTGGCTGGTACAGCTGCCGGCCAGCGAACCAAGGGGTCACTGGTTCAATTCCCAGTTAGGGCACGTGCCTGGGTTGTGGGTAAGGTCCCCAGCTGGGGCGTACAAGAAGTAACCACACAGTGATGTTTTTCTCCCCCTCTCTTTCTCCCTCCCTTCCCCTCTAAAAATAAATAAATAAAATCTAAAAAAAACCCCCAAAAACCCCCACATTCTATAACCTGTCCCCATGCTGAGTTCATGCCCTCATGAACCTTCCTGCTCCTCTGTGACGGCACCAGCAGCCACAGCGAGACTGGAGAAAGCAGCCACCCACAGCACTGCGCTCTGAGGATTCCGTCTCTTCCTTTGTGAAGTTTCTGCATTTCTCTTCACTCGTCACTGCTCCCTTCCCACTCAGGCTCTCGTTCCCTCACCACGGACTGTCACGGGTCTTCCTGCCTCCCTGGTCTCTCGCTAGTCTAAACAACACTTGGACCTGCTGTAGAATTCATCTTTCAGCTATGTCTCCTGTGAAGATACACCTGGGCTCATGAATATTCAGTAACTCCCTCATGCCTGCAACATCGAGTCCTAATTTCTCATCCCGGTTTTGAAGGTGGTCCAAAATCGGTTCCTAAAACACCCTTCTAGCTTATCTCCCTCAATTCTTTGTATGATTACTGCACTCCAACACAATGGAATAAAATCACTTAAACACAGCCACCGGCTTCCTCTCTCCATGCCCCAGTTCACGCAGTTCCTCCCAGGAGATTCCCTTCTCTCAGCACCTACGGCTTTCCAAATGTCTGCTAGCGTTTAACACCAGCTTCTGGCTCCACAAAGGGCTTCAGAACACTGCAGCCAACGGCAATTTCTTACTGACTACAAAATTTTATCATCCAAGCTTCATGTAAGTACAAAGCACATCTCTTATATTCTTACTACATTTTCATACTGTAATTGCTTTTCAACTATTTATATGTTGCCGGTAGGTTCTGAAGAACAAGGCTGGTTTTACTTCCCACCGCACTGGCAGACGGAAGTACTTCTATTTATTATTGACTTGGTGATTGGTAAACACTTGAAGCCAAAAGTCCTTCACTCACTGTTTCCCGGTCCAGAAGTTTGGTCACTCTCACTTCTCCCCTGGCAGGGTCAATTGTGAATGGACTTCCTTGATTGCCGTCTATAATTGAATAGTGGATGTGGCTGTTCAAAGGTCCATCGGCATCATCAGCCATAACCTAGAAAACAGGACACTCCTGCTTAGGAGACAGTTGAGGCAGGGACAGAAGTCATGAAGCAAATACCCAATATCAACAGCTAGTTGTTGTAACAAGGCAATTACTTATAACAGAGTCAGTAATTGCCCTAATAAAAGACGTTTCCGTATCTCCACAGTATTTTTGAATAAGGCCACCACACACACACACACACACACACACACACACACACACACAAACGCATCGTAGTAAAGCGAACGAACAGAACAAAAGTCTCGCAGAGATCCAGGAGGGGGAGCCGTGGGGAGCAAACGCGCACCGTGAGGACAGGCTGCTCGAGCACGGCATCTTCGCTGATCACCGCCGTGTAGGGGTCTTGGCTGAACACCGGGGTGTTGTCGTTGATGTCTGTCACGTTGATGTTCACCGTGGCGACGTCACTCAGGGAAGGTGTGCCTCCATCGGTGGCTTCCACAGTCAGGTAATACTCGTGAGAGCTTTCGTAATCCAGATTCTCGATGAGAAATACGGCCCCTGGACGGAAAAATCAAAGTTACTCCCAGCACTTTAAAATGCCACCGCTTCCTCCCACTGTGACTGAAACGGACATGCTTACGTCAATTTCATTTTCACTTCAAACGTTTACTTACCATTCATGTATATTTTCTAATTTTTTAACTCAATATTTCAAAATTATGAAGTTGCCCATCTCTGATCCTCATTTCTCTTATTTTCCTGATACTCGTTGTGATATTTAAATTACTTTCCTTATCAATACCATCAACATCTCTGCTATAAAAATGGCATTTGTTGTCTGTTTTAAATCATAGAGACTTCATTCTAATTTAATAAAACGAAAACATAAAAATGCTTCTCTTTGGCTTTAAGTTTCCTTTTCCTTCTCATACTTTTTATTTTACAGAAACATGCACCTTTTTTGTGAATCTCGAGAATAGCTATTTTCATCCTATCATTAAAAAAATCCCTTTGTGATTTACCAACTCTTTTACACCTTTCCTTTTCACCTCCTTATGGTCCACAGTATACTTCAAGAGCCCTAAAAGTAAGTTTTATGATATATGTTAAAAAAAACATTTTAAAATGGCACCCTCACACACTTACTCTTCACCTGAACTAGCTTCACACAGTGAAATACAGCTGGAATGGAGCAATGTTCTACAATGTTCTAAGACTCACAGCTAGTTTGGCCGCAGGTTAACAAGACTACAGAAGTGTTTACGCAGCGAAGTCGAAGCTCCTGTGACTTCTGACCTCGTTGGCACTCACCCAGCCACTGTGACTCGAAGTGCTTCAACTGTTCTGTATAACTAGTGTAATAAAAACAGCCAACTTTCTGAATTATCAGACACTCCCTTGAAAAACTAAGATAAGGAGGTGGAAGCGACCTCCCACGAGTTCCGTACGGGCGATAAAAAGGAGCCACTCCTAGAGGTCGGTCCTCTACTACCTTGCAGTCTTTATCTTCGCTAATTCACTACACATCTTACATCTTTGCTAAATCACTAGAGTGTGATACTTTAATTTTCAATTTAAAGTGAATTTGCTTATAGTTATGATAGGTACATCAGAAATGTACATTGTTATGCAGAACTATAGTTTAAAGTCTTAGAAACCACCTTAACCCAGCAATTCCACTGCTGGGACTATATGCTAAGAACCCTGAAACACCAATACAAAAGAACCTTTGCACCCCAATGTTCATAGCAGCACAATTCACAATAGTTAGGTGCTGGAAGCAACCTAGATGCCCATTAGTAAATGAATGGATACATTTACACAGTGAAATTCTATGCAGCAGAAAGGAAGAAGGAGCTCCTACCCTTTGCAACAGCATGGATGGAGCTGGAAAGCATTATGCTAAGTGAAGTAAGCCAGGCAGTGAAAGACAAATACCATCTGATCTCACCTTTAACAGGAAGCTAATCAACAAAACAAAGAAACAAGCAAAATATAACCAAAGACACTGAAATGGAGGACAGGCTGACAGTGACCAGAGGGGAGAGAAGAGGGAATTTCAGGGGAGAATGGGAAGGGTTTATAGGAACAAGTATGAAGGACACAAGGACAAAAACTAGGGGGAGGGTGGTAATGGGAGGGAAGTAGGGAGGGTTGGGTGGGTGGGCTGGAATGGGAGTAAAAGGCAGAAAACTGTACTTGAACAATGATTAAAATTTAAAAAATTAAAAAAAAAAAAGAAACCACTTTAAGTCCCACTTAAAATAACAACTCAGAGAAAACTTGAGTCTTATCTCTTGGAGTACCTACTAACAATCTGGGATCAGTCCCTTCGTATCAGGTCACGTGCTGGGCAATCTGCGCTTCCTGGCAGAATAAAGGGAGTCCTCTCATTTACATGGGGAGTTACCTGTTTTCGGATTGATGCTGAATTTCCCATGCTCATTCCCACTGATTATGGAGTAGGTGATCTCGGCGTTGGCTTCAATGTCCCGACTGGCTGCGTACACCTGGAGGACTTCGGTTCCAACGAGCATGTCCTCCGACACCGAGGCACTGTACTCGCGGTATTCAAACACAGGCGGGTTGTCATTTATATCCAAAACGGACACGACAACGGTGCTGGTCGCCGTCAGCCTCCTCGGCAAACCCTGGTCCGTGGCTTTCAGAGTAAGGGTGTACACGGCTTGCAGCTCTCTGTCCAGAGGCTTCTCCAGCTGGATGATTCCAGATAACTCGTTGATGGAGAACTGCCCGTCTGCAGAGTCCAGCAGCGAGTAGGCGATCTTCCGGTTCAGCCCTGTCGAGACATGGCGCCCTGTCAGGATGTTTTCTTTCAAGGAGTTTAAACAAATTACATTTTTGAAACAAACAAACAAACAAACAAACAACCATGTAGCATACATATTAAAAAGGAAAAATGCTAACATGTGTTATTTAAAAATTCTTATGACTATGATCTTAAGAAAGTAAACTTCTACATTAACAACTTGCTGAGTAAAGTACTTTTTAAGACCATGTTTTATATAGACTTAGGCTATAATACCCAGCAGATTTTTTAAAGTCTATTTATTTACCTTCAGTGCCAACGCTTTACTTGAAAACTTACATTTTTGTTATTCTTCTAATTATTAGTATGACTGCAGAAGTTATTTTTATTCTCTGCTCTATAGATAGCCTAGGCTTTTATTTCTCCATAAAAATTCGAAAGGCTTATAAAACTATAACATTTAGAGCATTTGCTCCTGTTATGTTCCTTTGATACTAAAATCTCTTTAAGTCACTAATGGTTTATTCATGAAATACCACGTCATTAACTCAATGGGATTGCAGGCCAGTTAACACAGTCACTAACCGGAATCTGAGGGACACTATAGTTATCTGACAGCAGCAAGGTCAGTAGGCACAACTCCGAGACTTCAAATACTCATTAAAAGTGAATTCATTATTCTAAATATTTCCTTCCATTTTTAATGCTAAGGCATGAAATAACAAAACGAGGATGAGTTATTCAACACGCACGAGGTAAAATAATTAAAGCGCCTGTGTGGGGGATGTGTTTTCAAACAAAGGTTCCTAGGATCTTGGAGCGGAGTCTGGAGACAAAGCCCTCCACGCGATACCTGCATCGGCGTCCGTGGCCTGCACTCTGGTCAGCAGCGTCCCGGGCTCTGTGTTCTCGAACACGGTGATGGTGTAAGGATCGGCGGAGAACTCGGGGGCATTATCATTCACGTCTTCTAGCGTGAGCACAATGTTGGCTTGACAGAACCGCCCCCCGCCGTCGGTGGCCTTGACTAGAAGATGATAAACCGCTTGCTCCTCGCGATCCAGGGGGGCTAATGTTTTCAGCTCACCTGAAAACAAACAAACCACCATGAATGGACTCACTTGAAATTTAAGGCGTGAACTGCAACACTAAATCTCCCATCTTCTCCTTTTCCCTTACAATTACAAAATCTGAATGACAGCCCTTCTTTGGAGAGCAGTTGCATGATGACAGTCAGCCGCTGTGTGCGTACAGTGAGCTGCAGGCTTCCAAACCCTGCAGGCGCCAACTCCCTTGGCCATAAAGATCTCGAGGCTAGGACCTCCTGCACTACACGTCATGTCACAAAAGCAAAATAGCTACCTAATTTGCCAAATTTCATTTTTTTAAAGATTTAATTTATTTTTAGAGAGGGAAGGGAGGGAGATAGAGAGAGAGAGAGAAAAACATCAATGTGCGGTTGCTGGGGGTCATAGCCTGCAACCCAGGCATGTACCCTGACTGGAAATTGAACCTGCGATGCTTTGGTTCACAGCCTGCGCTCAATCCACTGAGCTACGCCAGCCAGGGCGGAATTTACATTTTTAAGAAATGACTCAAAATATTAGATTCATAGCTTCATAATTAGTTCTTTGGTAGGAGAGAGCTTAATAGAAATCTATTGCTTGACCTCAATTTTAACAAAAGACAAATTATAAGAGGAAAACAACCCTAGCAACTTAAAGATGAATAATATATCATGAGTTATTTTAGTGAATATGCTAAATTATAAATTTATGCTAAAAAATTTGTGAATACAAGCTATATATAAAATGGATAGTCCTGGCTGGTGTGGCTCAGTGGACTGAGAGCTGCCCTGCAAACCAAAGGGTCACCAGTTCAACTCCCAGTCAGGGCACATGCCTGGGTTGCGGGCCAGGTCCCCAACTGGGGGTGCATGAGAGGCAACCACACATCGATGTTTCTCTTTCTCTTTTCCTCCCTCTCTTTCCCCTCTGTCTAAAAATAAATAAATAAAATATTAAAAAAAGAATAAAATGAATAAAGTGAAAGCTTGAAATATACTTAAACTTCTGAGTTGTTTTTTTAAAATAAAAGGTGACATGAACAATTTTAAATCCTTGAGTATTGATTTTTTAATCTCACACCCAATTTTACACATTACATCGCTGTTTAAAGTCCTAAAAGATGACAATTTTGCAATATCCAAGTACATTTTTACAAGAACATGTAATTTTTCAAATTCTATGAGTGATCTAAAAACCACCCATACACATGATTTTATTGAAACACAATTAATTTTGCCCCAAACTCTATCATTACCTGTGTCTGGATTTAGTTTGAACTTTTCTGCACCTGGCCCAAATAACGTGTAAGTAATTTCGGCGTTGGAACGGATGTCTGCGTCCGTAGCAGAGACCTGCATGATCAGTTTCCCAGGAAAGGCGTCTTCTGGAATCGTGTCTGAATAGAATGTCTACAAAAATTTGAATCAATATTGTTAACAGAAAACAGTGAGAGTCAGCATGACTGCCAAGGGGATAACAGAAAGGAAATCATTTCACTTTGGCCAGAGAACACATAGGAAATGACTCAAGTTGAAAACCCAAGGAGCTTTCAAAACTACTTTTCTTATGAAACAAGGAGCCACGTAACAGTTAACAATTCCATGTTGCTGAAAGAGTCTGATCTGACATTTAACCTACAGAGTTCTGAACACAGTGCTTCATGTCTTTGACTCGGTTTCCCATTTAATTTAAGTTCTAATGAGAAAATATGCCTAATTCTCCACATTTACCCAAGGATTGGAGAGAACAGATGCCTGTTACATCATATCAATGTCCAATATGGAAATTTATTGTTTGCAATCGTTTTTAACATAGAACCAAATGCACACAGCTGAGAAACAAGTGTGCTTCACGCCAGGGAGAAAACAAAGGTTCCTAAGGCTGTGTGATCAAGCTGGCCCCTCTGTGACCTGCTCTAACCTCCCTCTCCGCATGCAACCTAGCTCGCAAACGAAGGGTTGTTTCCTCTTCCAACTATTTAGAAATCCATGCCATAAACTGAAACACAAGACAGGTGAGATTTTGCTGAATTTATTTTCTTAACCCAAACTCAAGTTTAGGTGAACGGCATTTTATGACTCATGGAACGCAATGTTTTACAATACTGATGCTTTGAAATGCACTAGCGTTCTAATTTTGTTTTTTCCTGAAGTTGATAGGGTATTACATTGAAATAATATGAAAAGTGTTAGAAAACAATAAAACACACATTCAGTCTCTGCCTATAAGATATAAATATATATATGATACCCCACGCTCCGAAGTGCACGCACACGGGCTGGAGTGAACTCTCAACGCCTCAGAAGCTCCACGCCCGTCCTGACCAATCAGAGTGAAGCAGTGCGCACTACCCTGAGAGCAGCTCTGTTCTGGTCCACAGCATCTCATGCTCACCGCACGCAGCCTTCTCCAGCTGCTCAGTCTCTCTTCAAGATCACTCTCCCCTAGACCCAGCCTTCCCTCGCCCAGCCACACTCCTCTTCCTCCCTTTCACTGTCCACGTCGATTTCTGCAGTGGCGCCCACTGTTTAACCTAGAGCAAGCACGTGTCCCTCTGCATCATGAGCTCAGGTCACCATCTCTGAGACGGTCACAATCCCAATGGTCCATTTCAACTGCGGTCACACCCTGCTCGCCTTCCTGCCTCCCCAGACTCCTTTGCTCTCGGGAACCCCCCTCCGCCCCCGACAGCTACGTTCTCTTCCTTCCATCTCCAATTCCTTCTCCTCCCTTCTCCCTTGGGAAATACCTATCTGCTCTCTTTCCCTTTTCCTTATTACCCTCTCAAGTGAATGCAATTGTCAGTTATCCACAGAAACGGCCGAATTTGCATATCCTTCCCTAATATCCACCCTCAATTTCACCATCTCTAAGCATCTAAACATATTCAGCTTAATGTCCCATTAGCTTAATCTCAACAAATCCGAAGTGGAACGCAATGCGCTTCCTCTAGAAGCAACCCCCCACCCCCACCCCGGCTTCTCTTTGGTCTCTCCCCTTCACTCCTGTGGGAAGCATTCAAGTTGATCTTGACTTGATAGGGCCTTGATAGGGCCTGCTATGCTGTCACCTCCAGGCAGGACCAAGTAGGTGCTCCAGGCCTCTGCCCTATCCCCCCTCCTTCTGCCACCTCACCCCTATGCTGCCACTGTTCCTCCTGCAAATGGACAGAACACTACCAAACTCACCTGGCCTTGAGAAACTCCCTCCTGGCCATGCTCTCTCCACCTTTTAACTAGAAAAGGACTCCACGTCCCCATCTGCCCTGGGAGAGAGGCCCAGTGTTCACGCAGAATGGCGGCTCCACCACTGTGCGAGCCACACTGCAGGCCTCGCAGTGTCTCGAGTGTGTTAAGAGTGAGTGCCCCAAAAACGGCGAAAGCAAAACTGAACCCTGTACGAAGAACTGCTGGCCAGCTGTTCCCTCCAAAAAACCCTCATCCCCAAATAAAGGGAATCTCTTCCTAAACACTCGGCAGGGCATTTTCGAAGTTAAACACGACTGCAATCCGGTCCATAATTTACGGCATTTTGAACGAGTCTGAACTATTCAGCACTCCCTGAAACAGTCCCGACGCTAACCCGTCTCTTGCCCCATTTCCCACTCACCTGTGCTTGGCCAGTAAGAGGTTATGACCTGAAACACATCTCATCTCAGTAACGCCATGGCCTCTCGGGACGGCCCTACTGGTAGGTTTAAGAAAGAAATCCGAATTTGTAATCGAGGAATTTAGAGAAAGAGTGGCGTACCTTTTCACAAACTGGACTGTTGTCATTTGCATCAAGAACTTTCACTTCAACTATTGCTTTTGATGAGAAGGTCCCATCCGTTGCTGTGATCGTCAGAAGATAATTGTCCCTTTTTTCCCTATCCAGAGGTTTCTTCACATAGACCTTCCACTCATTCTGTATATTTTCAACAGCAAACTGCCCCAAAGGATCCCCTCCTATTAAATCAATGGAGGAAGATGACAATCAAACTTGTTGAAATAAAGGAAGAAATAAGTAACATGAGAAATAAGTTATACAATAGATTTGTAATGTCACGGTTTGAAAGAATTAAGGTTTTTAATAATTACATTTGAATTTGGTATATTAGCTTTCCCATTAAAATTTTATTTAAACACAGCATTCAGCCAAATAAAATATAAGGACTACTGAATAATACTTTAGCCTACACTGAAACTATAGTTTTTCTTTTTAATTATATTTATTATGTACTAAGCATAAAGTTCAAAGGAGTCATAAAAATAAAACAGTCTAATAAAACAACTGTTACCTTTGCTCAGGCAAAGAACTTAAAATGTAGCTTAAGAGATGCTATTTCTACTTATTTTAGATAGACTTAAGTAAAATCATCCTTTTAACTTCCTTATTTCCACAAAATACATTATTTCAAAATTTGTACTTCTAATGTTTTAATTTTAAATTAAACCATTTCATTTCAATTTCTTACCTGTTATGTAATATGTAACTTGTCTGTTAATTTCTTCTGAATCAGCATCTGTGGTACTTAAAATGGCAATTACACCGCCTGGTGGGTCATCTTCACTCACGGTCCCTTTATAGATCTCCGCCGTGAAGCGTGGGGGACTGTCATTGACATCAGTGACAGTGACATCCACGATGGCTGTGGAGGACAGCTGAACCTTCTCACCATGATCCGACGCGACCACTTTGATCTGGTAATTGTCTCTCTTTTCATGGTCGAGCTCCTTTAGGGTTGTGATCCAGCCAGTTTCCATGTTGATGGCAAAAGATTCGGTGACTTCTACACTTTGCGATGGATCTAGGCTGTACATCACCTGGCCGTTGGTCCCTGAGTCCAGATCGGACGCCCGGATCTGGATGACTCGACTGCCCCCTGGCTGGTTTTCAACAATAAATGCCTCGTACGGGTTGGACTCCAAGACAGGGCTGTTATCATTTGCATCTTTCACCTGGATACTGACATCCACAGAAGCCACCACCTCATCGTCCTCATGAGTGCACCTGGCAAGTACGGAAAACTGATACCACTTCGTCGTCTCGTGGTCGAGAGCCTTTTCCAGTTTCAGTTTCCCACTCTGTCTGTCGATCACGAAGAACTCATCCCTATTGCTTTCGGGAGTATTCCCTTTGACGAGGCTGTAAAGGACACTCCCGCTGTGTTCCGCTCGAAGGACATCGATTTCCGTTCCAATGGGCATGTCTTCTGAAACCGTGTAGGTGTAGAACGGCTCTGAAAATTTCGGAAGCTGCGTTTCTGGCGGGAGGATTTTCATGTAGACGGGGACAACAGACTCTTTCGGCGGAGACCCATTATCCACAGCTCTAACAAAGAAAGTGAAGAACTCATCTTCCAAGCCAATTAAGCTCTCCTTTGTAGTAATTATGCCAGACAGTTTGTTAATTTCCAAGTTCTCTTTCACGCTTTCAGAATCTGCTTCAATGGCATAGGTGACATCGGCATTGGACCCCTCATCGGCATCACTTGCGAGAACTTTAATGACGGATGTCCCTTTGGGAGCATTGGACCCGATGTTTACTTCATACTTGGTTGCTCGAAATTGTGGCGCGTTATCATTGTCATCGGTAAGGATGACGTTAATGGTACAGAAAGCAACTTTCCCTCCGGCATCCTTAGCCATTAAACGAACTGCGATGACTTTCTCCGCTGGGATCTCGCGATCGAGTTTTTCCAAAGTAAATATCTGTCCCCTCTCATTTGTGTAAAATCTGTCTTTAGCGAAGTCATTCACAATATGGTACGTAACGTCGCCGTAAACACCAGAATCCCCATCAGTTGCTTTAACCTCAATTACCAGGGTGTGTAAAGGGGCGTTTTCAGCGAGCTCCACTTCATATTCGTTCTGAGGGAAAACAGGGCTGTGCAAATTGCCTCCAATTACAGTTACGTGAACCTGAGCTGAACTTCTAAAGACTCCATCCGAGACAGAAATGTTAAGGCTGGAAAATGGCTTCAAGGTGTGTCGGCGGAGGTTGGAGAGTGTGATAATCCCCGTCTCACTGTCCATCACAAAGTTCTTATGATCGTTGCCAGACAGAATGGAGTATTCCAACGTGCCGATGTCTGAGCTGTCCGCATCATAGGCTTTGACACAGGCCACAAAGTGCCCGTGCGTGGCATGCTCGCTGATTCTGGCCTCATAAATCTGCTGGTCAAACAGCGGCGGGTTGTCATTGAGGTCCGTGACATCCACTGTGACGATCACATCACTGCTCAGCGGGGGCATGCCCCCGTCAATAGCCCTCACGGAAATCTTGTGCTGATGGACCTGCTCATAGTCCAAAGTCCTGACCAGTGAAATGAGACCAGTGCTGCTGTCGATGTGAAAGTGGTCGTGGCTCTTGCTGTGGTTGCCAGACAGGTGGTAAGAAATCCCTCTGTTAGGTTCCGAGTCCGAATCGGTCGCTCTAATCTGAACAACGGAGGTTCCAATGACAGATGCCTCGGACAGGGTCACGGCGTAAGACTGCTGCACAAACGCAGGAGGGTTATCATTGATGTCCTCCACTATTATGTCCACAAACACCTCAGCGTGAGCGCCGGTCAAGGAGTCGGTGGCGCGCACGCTCAGCTTGTAGGCTGGGTGAGACTCGAAGTCCAGAGGAGCTACGACGTTGATGACTCCCGTGTTGAAGTTAACGGTAAACTGGCTAAAAGGATCCCCGTCTGTGATGCTGTAGAAGACTTTCAGCCCTTCCGGACTGTTGGCCTGGATGTGGACGACGGGGCTGTGCATCTGGATATTCTCTGGGATCTCTGCACTGTAGAAAGGCTTTTCGAACACGGGCATGGCCCTGTTCATCACAGTGATGGGAACTAGAACTTCAGCCGAAAAGGCTGGGTTTCCTCCATCTTTTGCCACCACTGTGACCAGATATTGTTTATTTAAGGTGTCAGGTTCAAATGGCTTTTTCAGTGAAATTTCACCTGAGGACCCGATTTGAAAGTGCTCGTGATGTTCCTTAAGGTAGTAATGCACTTCACCATTTCTGCCACTATCTCTGTCCACGGCGGTAACGTGGCGAATAATGTGGCCCACCGCCGCGTCCACCTTAACAACAGCGTAGTAAGGAAGGTTGACAAACACAGGTGCATTGTCATTTTGGTCTTCAATGATGACCTTCACAAGGACATGGGACACTGCTGCAGGCTTATGTTCTTGTGTCACTTCGACGACCACATCAAATGCCTCCTGCTGTTCCCGATCAAATGGTATCCCCGTGGTCGAGAGAACACCCGAAGTGCGACTTATTTTGAACCTGCGATCTGGGTTGAGGATGCGGTAGAACAAAGGCTCGTTGATTGGATTCCCGACAGCAGTGATGACAGCTAACATTCTGGCTTCAGTGGAATTCTCTTTCACAACTGCGGAGTAGACATCTTGCGTGAACTTCAGTTGACTTTCTTTGCTTTCTTTCACATTGATTTTCACAGAGGAAAAGCTTGCAAATCTGCCGTCAGAGGCTCGGATGGCTAACTCATAGCGGCTCCTTAACTGAGTCGTGTTTTGCACCGTAATGGAACCAGTCTTGTGGTCCATCCAGAACTTCTCCCCGATGTTGCCGTCCGTGATGGAGTACATTAGCTGCGAGAAGGCTCTCGAGTCGGCATCGGTCGCATTGACTGTGAGGACTTTCACTCCTCTGTATGTCGGCAGCAAGAGGGAAGCTTCGTACAACGACTTGGAGAACACTGGGGGGCAGTCATTAATGTCAATCACGTGTATGGTCACGTTAGCTGCATATTCCGCAAACAAACGCGGTGTTCCCATGTCATGCACCTGCACGGTAAAGTGGAAGGTACTCGTTTCTTCATAGTCCAAACTGAGTACTGTGCGAATTGCACCAGTGCTAGAGTCAATAGCAAAATATTTGTGTACAGATGGTTCAACGATGTGATAAACCAGCAAAGCATTCGATTCTTTATCAGCATCAGTTGCCCGAATCACCAAGGGGACGTTCCTGTCTGTGAGGACCACGCTGTTAATGGAAGCTGATTCGCTGATGCGTCCTGTGTATTCTGCCTGCGTGAACACGGGCGCGTTGTCGTTCTCATCCTGGAGATGCACCAGCACCGTGGTGTTAGTCGATAAGCCAGCCATGTTGGTGCCTTGTACTGTCAGTGTGTACATGGGCAGGGCTTCAAAGTCCAGGGCTTTCTGAGTGATGATACTCCCAGAATGTGGATTAATATCAAAAGCATCGGCCACGTTTCCATCTTTTATTTCATATACCACTGATGACTGACTATGGGCTGTAACCATGCCGACAAAACTCCCAATGCCGATGGTTTCACTGATTTCTACAGAATATTCTTTAGATGTAAACTTAGGAGAGGCATTGTCAGCAATTGTGACGAAGATACGCGCAGAAGTTATTTCACTCATTGGTGGACTGCCTTTATCTGTAGCTTTTACAATTAAATCGTATTCCACTTGGTTACTTCGATCTAATTCTTTGGCGGTTTTGACAGAGCCCAAGATGGGATCAATTGTAAAAGAATTTCCAATATTTCCTGGGAGAAAAGAAAAAGAAAACATGTTAGAGAAAACTACAGGGATCAGTAGAAGTGTGTTTGGAAATACAGAAAAAAAGCAGGTATCTTTAAAAACTACATTCTGATATTAAACAGAAATTCTAAATTATCAACATTTGAGTGGAAGTTGTTTCATTTTTATCCACCTAGAATGAGGCAGACTTTTCATCCAGAGTTTTGTCCATTAAATAGGAAAAGCGAGAAAGAGAAGAAATATCATTCTATATCTAACACGTGACTCATTCTTTTGCTTGAGTCAGGAGTGCGCCGCGGAAGAACATGCTCTCCCTCCCCACAGAGCAGTAGGTGCATGATTGTACCAGAGTCCCCCAAAACCGTCGGAACATATTTTCAGCATTTATCACTTGAAAATGTTCAAGAGTTTTCTTATTCATTACAAAGGGCAGACTAATTCCTTAAGAAAATTTAGCAAACTTAGGAGAACTGTCCCTTATTTTAAACATTCAAGGAATTGATAAATAAGCCTGTGGGTAACTTATCCCAGTTCATCGGTTTTGGAGATTTCAGTAATACTCTCTTCTTAATCTTTTTATTCCCGAGGCCAGTCAGTGGTTCGCAAGAGGGGGTGACTCTGCCCAGAAGGGGACATTCAACAGTGTCTGGAGACACCTTTGGTTGTCACCATGTGGGGAGGGTGCTACTGGTATCCGGACCAGAGATGCTGGTAACTTCCTGCAATGCACAGGATGCCCCACAATAAAAACGTTTGGTTCAAACAGTCATCAGTACTGAGTTCGAGAAGCTCCTCTCTGGCATAGACTGTTTTACTGGCTTTTCATCGGACCCTTCCCACCTGTATTATATATGTGCATTCAGCTGCAAATGCAGCTCTACAATATGCTATTGTTTTGTGTCATCACCCGAAATCTTTCTCGAGAAACCAGCAGCTGACTGCAGGTGAGAGGTTACCTCTCTTTTCAAATGGATCGAGGCAAGGTGAGGAGGGTGCGATCCACCCAGGAACGCTTCCTCCCTTTTCTGTTTTACAAACTAGTCTAGATCCATTATCCTAGTCATAGAACTGAACGTGTTTCTCCCAAACGAGCTGTTACACTTACCCAAAACGAGGCTGGCTTGCCACGTAACGGCTTTCTCGAATTGTTTTCCTCTGGGTTTGCAACCGAGTGTGGCACTTCATGGAACAGTATTACTGGGTGTCTTTTGCAAACCAAGGGATTATTAGCCAACCACTTCTTTCTCCACATCGTTGCTCGTAAACACTTCCTCTACAGCCCTCATTTCCTTTCTTTAATACAGTTTCCAAAAACCCATGGTAACTCTTTTCTGAGGCCAGCCCTGGTCTGAGGTCCATGAAGCCTGCCGGGCTCTGTATCCACGGCCCACGGCTGGGCCTCCGTCTCCCACAGGGAAGAGGCCTGGGCTGTGTCCAGGCCCCACGGCTCTGAGCTGAACCCCGGCCCACGAATGGGGTCACGCTGCCTCTGCCAGGCCTGGCACTGTCTCTGGCCTAAGTGTCTCAGAGTCAAGGGCCCCAGATTCTCTCCGACCTAGTCATCAAGGTCCTTTCTCACCCTACCTGGGCATCACCCCAAATTCTAAAACTGCGGCTGGCTGCCTGGATCACAGAAGAGACCGTGAAACACCTGTGGACAGCTGTCTTCATGCACCCCGGCCTCCCCTCTGTCCTCATAGAGCAGCCAGCCTACTATGTATATTATATTCATCTTCTACGTGCATTTCTCTCTTATTTTGGCCAGCGAAATCTTAGCGCTTCACGTGCACAGGGCATGCCACTCTTTATCGCTTGGAGTAGGCTGACTTGGATAGACAGCTCCGATTCCGGCCTGGCAGCCACAAGGTAAACAGGACCCAGCCAGCCAGTGAATGCACGGATCCCACACATATATACACCATGGCAGGAATCACCAGGTTTGCAGACGCGAGAATGACGAGGGCGATCTTTCTGCGGAAAATCACGGAGGGCTGCTGAGTGGCGTGAGCGTGCCCGTCTGATCTAGTAATACGCACACTCGCCAAACACTGAAGAGCGTGGCTGGCACTGGTGAGTGTGCTCACGGGGCAGTGGCAGAAGTCTGTACTTGGCTGGGGTGCGGTCAACCACCTTAGCTGGGGATACTGGTGATTTCTAAATAGCCCGAAACCGTGCTCTTTACTGGAACAAGGCGGTCATCTGGACAAACTCGCACGTCCATGCTCACTAGCTGTGACTGTAACACACGTGCACACCCCATAGGGGGTGTCAGGAAGCTAGTTGTGCACTGGAATCTGTGCCTTCCCTCGGTGGACCCCCTGTGGGTGGTGAATGCCTGTCAGTCAGTACGGCTGCCTCTACAAAGCTTCACGTGCAATAATGTTTAACCTAAGTTTGCAGGAAAAACCCAATTCTGGTCAACAGGCAAATCTACTGAGTGTTCCTACTGCCAGGCATTACAACGGTTTTTAATGACGAGAACACCGTGCAGCCCAGAGTATGGCTCTGATATGCCTCTCAGCATATAACTCAATTGTTACTGAAAATATCCTTTAATTAATTCCTTTTTCCTTCAAGACTCCTAATCAGACCGAACCTTTTGCTCAATAAATTGCTGCTGATTAAACATGCAGGGTTATGGCCTGCATTTATAACTAGTCTTTTGAACTTCATTAAATGTAATCGGACAGAAATTAGAAGCAGGCAATTATAAATAAACAGGAGGTGAAAGGCTGCGTGACCGTTTCACGGTCCTGCTATTCAAACGATGCGCAGGAACACAATTCCACGGCACATAAAGGTCACTGTTTCTTGTCAAGTAATTGTTCAGCACGATTTGTGTACCGCCAAGTCTAAGAAAATGCTTTCTTAAAAGTCCAAACTCTGCATCAGAGTAGGCCCGTGGTATTATCTATTCTCCGAGTGGAGAAATGGTTCCATTCTTGGAATAGCAAAGCGCTAATTCTGTCCGTCATGACAGGCATTTAAAGAATGTGCAGGCCTTCGGTCAGGCACCAACAATCACATCTGAACCGCCCAGTTGTTGAGAATTATGTGAAAGCTAAGGGAAAGTTTCACATTTTCTCCTACACAAACCCAGACGCTCTGTCCATGAGAAAACCATTTCACTGGAGTGCTCAGGCACGCGCAGTGGAATGCGCCGGCTTTTAATGACTAAACTTCTGAGCCAGTGGAAAAATCTTCGTCTTCAGGCGAGGTACTACCCACCCTAAGACACATTTTATTACTCCTGTAACCACGGACGGTCCATGAACCAAATTAGGTAGTTTTCAGCAAAATAAATGTAACTTCCATTAAGAAATAAAAATAGTTTAACCACATAAAACACAAACTAAGTTGTTTTTTTAATTACTCTCCATTTGCTCAGCTTTTGATTCGATGATCTATAGCTAATGTACACCTCTCCCAATTCGAATGCCTAAGATAGATACAGTCTCTAAATATGCAAAGGTATGAACTTACAGAAAACAAACCCAGTTCAGTGGGTGATCTCAGTACTCTAAGATCATTACAAAGACAGAACAAGGAAGGGGACCTGGTACCAACAATGACACTGAGAAAGATGGAAAAATGAAAGCTGCCTTCTCAACATCTGATCACTGACATGCACAATTTGGCCCGAGTAGGCAAAGTCCCAAAGCAAGGCCGTTTCTGACCGAAAGAATGAATCAATGCTCTGAAGCAGACCGACTCCCGTTTCAAGTAAGGGCAGATTTTGTTTGCAAGGACACACACGGGTGGACCAATGGTAACCCCACACCCTGTACCTACCCACCCCCCCACCCATCCAGTTCAAGTGTGAAAGTGCCTAGCACCCCAGCATGGCACCTGGCACACAAAATGAGCTCCATGAGCCCATGGGCTGAACACACGAATGACAGAGTAACAGCACAGCACAGAACCAAAACATTCTGCTTTGCCACAAGCGCTCACGGCAGCCCTCCGTCCCGTCACCCCCAGCAGGACGCTCATCTCCTGCCTTCTCATCCCCCCAAGAACTGCCCACGCTTCCCGCTGCTCACCCTGCCCCTGCCGCCTCCTGCCCAGCTCCACTCCCTTGGGCTTTTCAACATTCTTCGAGTCCAAAGCCCAGCCCCGGGGACCACTGTGACAACCCATGAATGAAACACAACTGTTCTAGCTGCGTGGGGGTCACAGGGGCAGCCATGCTAACCTGGGAAGGGGAGCAGGGGCGTGACACCCCCTCCGAGATTGGACTCCATCAGAACTGAGTGAGTCCACGCTCCTGAAACGTCCTGCTCTGCCCAAGAGAAAACCCTCCGACTACACATAAAGCATTGTATTAACTGGCCAGCATTTCCCCGAGTGTATCATTGTTCAAGAAGGGAAGTGATTGTGTGGTTAAAACAACTGTAGAAATACTGAACTAGTCAAATAAAGTTTTCTGAATGGCGGGACTTCTCAGCCCTGAATCCTGCTAACATTGTGAGTCTCCAAGAACTTGCACCAAACTTAGGACTCTCCGGCCTAGCTTTCTGAAGAGTCAAAAGTCTAAAAAAATCTTTTTCTCTTTCTCCTATCCCGTAAGATCCATGTAAGCAATTTTACAGCGATACCCAGAAACCTTCTAACATGCAGAGCTCATTTTAGAGAAGAAGAAACACACTTTTTAACAAGTACAACGTTATGAACCCAGGGAGTGCTCCCCAAATACCTGACTCGATGGAGTACACCACTTCGGCATTCCTCCCTTTGTCCTTGTCCAGAGCGGTGACCTGCAGCACCACCGAGCCAAGGGCTGCCGACTCATACACCCGCCCTTCGTAGGAGGAGCTCGTGAACCAGGGCGCGTGGTCGTTGGTGTCGCTGACATTCACAACGACCCTCGCGAAGTTGCGCTTCACGGGGACATCTTGATCCCGCACCTGAAAGAAGCGACACGTTATTGATCCTGTTGGGAGTTTTCCTTCTGACTGAAAGTCCCTCTCAAGTGCATGGAACCCTCCAGGAACCACAGGGTGGCGGAAGCGGGGGCAGCGGCCCTACCATGACTGTGAGCACGTGCTGGTGAGCCGCTTCATGGTCAAGGGCTTCCGCGGTGTAGAGGGAGCCGGTGGCAGGGTCAAGACGGAATTTCTTGAGACTCAGTGGATCGATGCTACTCTGCAGAGTGTAGATGAGTTTGTTTTTTTCATCCTTATCCACGGCACTGATTTGCAAAATTTCTGTTTCTGGCGCTGTATCTTCGGGAATAACAACTTCATATTTTGATGTAGAAAATTGAGGACGATGGTCATTTGTGTCTATTACTTTGATGAATACCTATAACGACAAAATGATTCACACCATAACATTCCTAATTATGCTATTTTAATAAACAATCAGGGAAAAAATCAGATGCACATTGGGGGAAAAATTGATATTTTAGCAAAATGAAACACAAACATGAGAAAAGCAACAAAAATCTAAAATCAAAATGTCTTTAGATTTTTCACTGATATATTACCTCCATAAATAAGTATGATAATGAGAACCTTTTTAAATTCTTGAGACTAACGTTGCAGAGAAAATGCAACACCTTTCACACATTTCTTTATGAAATGCAGAAGAGATATTTTTAGGTTACTCACATAACGGTAACAGAGAGTTTAGTTTAGCAGGATTCACAGAAGACTAATTTCCCGTATCAGAGTTGAATCTGTAATTATCAAGCTATTGAGGTGAGGAAGCTGCTAGGTGGTCTCAATATTTGCATGTCTTGTCTAATCTTTGAGACTCCAAATTCCTATCAATAGTTTTTTATACTTACAAGAAAATTAAAAATGCGCTTTAAAATTCTTATATATTTTTGTGATCATAAAACCCACCCACAAATAGTGAGCACACTGATTTCCTGAAAGCACTTTAAGTACCGTGTAAAGATAAGCCCCTTTACATATGTTAACGTAGAATAAAAACCTTAGAGAAAAAAACCCAGATGCTAACAAAACTCAGGCCCAAGTGAAATCTTTTTACTGGGCAGTAAGGGGATTAACTTTTAGACTGCAAAGATGTATGTGGACGAGGCACAGTGGGGAGGCGCAGTGGGGACCACTGCTGCTTATGAAAGCTGGTGCACAGTCATGAACCAGAAATCTGGGCCTTGCCGGCATGCACACGGAACAGGGGTTTGCTAGTCCAAACGGCACGGGCAGCCAGAGCCCTGGAATGCTCGGGTAGAGCTACCAACCACAGTGCTGCGGGCATGGAACTGGAGGCCTCTGCAGGAAGAGGGTCTCACGGAACCTGAAACGGGGGTGTGTTCAATGGTGTCTCTTGGCCCCAATAGAAGAAGAGTTATCTCGGGTCACGCATGTTAGCTACTCAAACACTAACGAAAACTGATGAGCAAAAAAAAAAAAAAGGCTTTAAGTAAATTTACGATGTCGTGTTGGGCCACATTCATGGCCATCCTGGGTGCAGGCTGTGGGTTGGACACCCCTGCAGAACCTCAGTGACGGGTTCCCGTGTTGCATGATTATGAACAAGCACCAAGGCACAAAAAGGTTTTGTGTGAAAATTATGTCAATACTTAAAGCTACAGACGCCTCCCTCTTAAAATCCAATGATGATCTGGAAGGGATGGCTCTAGAGGTCATTTCTATAGATGAAACCATTATATATTTATTTCTACTACCAATTAAAAAATTATTTTTCTCATGGAGTGCTGGGCAGACATAGTTCAATCCTACTCCAAGATCGGTGAATCACAGGTAAACAGGAACAGCTAAAGTGAAAACAACCGTTATTGACAAGGCAATTCAGCAGACACATCTCCTGGGCCCCTACATGGGCAGAGTGTAATAAAGCAACTGTGGCAGCCCCTGCCCTCACGAAGCTTTCCCAGGCATGCGCCATGTCTCCTACACAGAGTCTAATGAGGTTTCCCACGTGATTGAGGAAGTCTGTCCGAGTCGGAGGTGGCCTGGCCTGGAACGTTCAGAGAGCTGTTGGGGAGGAAGCGAGGCTTTGCTGGCCCCGGTTTCAGGTTCGTAGGTGGATGCATGCTGGGCTGGGAGGGAGGCCTCCGTCACAGCCGGGAAGGCAGGAGGTGGCAAGGCCGTCCCTAGCTCTCAGAGCCTGGAGAGAAGGACTGGGAACTGGGACAACACAGGGAAGCAGACGCAGGGAGGAGGCGGGATCGAATATGCGGAGGTGACTCCCGAGCAGAAGCTGGAGGGTTCCGTGTCCTGTGTGCTCTGACTCTTCGCATGAGAGGAAATTCACCTGGGCCCTTCCTCCCAGGTGGGCAGGCCACGGTGGTGACAGCAGTGCAAGGTGAATTGCAGGGACCCCCAATGGAAACAGGGAGGTGACTCAAGGGTCAGCAGGGGGCAGAGCCCACACCAGCGCGCGTGTGCCACAGCCAGCAGGGCCACCTCACTTAACCACATGGGCACCAGGGTGGGAAGATGGAGGCACCGAGGGTCAGAGCCACCTGCCCAGGACAGGTGTGAGGCAGAGAGAGCTCAGATTCAAACCCGACGGCCTGCTCCAGACTACGCAACACCAACGCTCAAGAGAAAAATTAAAGAAAACAGGAAAGTAATGCTGTTTCCAAGAAAGGAGAAAAAATATTAACTGGGTTTGGTACGTTACCTTGAGGTACCAAATAAAGCAAAGTGACTCAATACCGGGCAGTGTCCTAAACAGAAAGCAGCAGGGCAGGAAAGCCAGGGGGCTGTGGCAGCAGAGTGCTGGGGTCACGCGCCCAGCCGCCCCCGCCCGCCTTGCCCCCTGGCGGAGGACACACCTTGGCGCAGCACCGGGCTCTGCAGCACCTCTCACCCACCTAACACCTGCTGCTACTGACCTCGAGGCGGCAGAACCTGCTCCGTTGGTTCCTCCGCTGTATCCGCGCCCTGGAATCCGCCTGGCTGTGTTCCAGGGCGCGTCTAGCCATTCTGGCTTCCGTGTCCCTCCCTCTGCAGGTGTTCCCTGCTGCTCTGCCCCTAACCGGACTCCTGCTTCCCTCTGCTCAGCCCCACACCGGAAATCCACACCCACGCGCTGGCTGTGTGCCCTTTGCCCTGCGCCCTATCAGGTCAGCCCAGGCACCTCTCCCTGGACCAGGACCCTCTTAAAATGGCTCAAAATCCATTACAGAAGCATAAGTGAAAGACTGAATTTAAGATACACTGTATTCCAGAGAAAAGAGCAGAATATGTTTTCTGGGTCTTAAGAGAAATTCTGGTCAACCTACATCATATTTCATACTAAGCTGCTAAACTGGACAAAGTGAAGCTACAATTACCAGGAAAGGGGCATGTGAACCACTCACTTATGTAACGAGGGACAAAGGCGGCAGGGTGATGGATACACCGTCTTTGGTAATGAGAATGCATTGTACTGCTTATTAAGTCCCTTTTGCTACATTTCTGGTGAGTTCATTATTTGAATTAGTCCACCTACAGTTATGGTCTTTAAACCTTTCACAATTTTCCTGCTGAATTTATTATAATTCTTGAGGTTTTACTATTCTCACTTTCATGCTCTGCAGTCTAACTTCTACAATGAGAACGATTACAACAAAACTGAAATTTTAATGCTGCACTAGAATTTTTACAGGACAAATTCAAAACGACACCGAAGCATGGTACATATATCAATTTTACATAGAGTCAAGATCACAAGCATTTGGAAAGGAGAATAAACCTTTTCACAAATGGCTTTAAATTATCTCCTCATTTTTAATGGAAAAGACATCATAAACTGTAATTTTTATTCTTCAGTTAAATGATTTAGCAGATGATCTGGCTCATGTAAGATTTAAAATAGTTTAAATGTAGGAAGTTGGGGCCTCGGAAGCAGTTTGTCCTCTAACATTGAACTTCTTCCTTTCGCTTTTTGGATACAGCAGATTGTCCACAAACCTGTAGCTTCTCCCCTCTTGATGTAAGCTCCAGGAGGGGAGGGCTTTGTGTCCTACTTTTAGCTTCTAGAACAATACCTGGCACATAGCAAGTATTCAACAAATTCTCAGAACAGCCCACACTGAGAAATCAAAGAGAATTCAGAAGAAAGAACAGAATTTTAATTTAAGTTACAGAGTTTTGACATTTCTATTTGAAATCCCAGTATCTGGCATCTCTTAATCATCAGGAACAAATAAAGATGTCAAAGGAATTATTAGGACAATGTTATCAGTGAGTTCACATAGTCCTAGGGAAGGTAGCCACAGCTTTAACCAGCTTCAATGAAAAGGACTCGGACAATTAATTCATCCTCAACAGGGATACACTTTATACTAATACAGTTGAAAAGGAGTAAAAAATGAAAAGATCGTGTGACATAACAGTAATGTGGTTTTTTTTAAGTCTTTCAAATTTTTCAACACTGGTTAATTACATGCAAAGCCTAAATCGGCATTCGCAGTTAATTTCCTTTCCCCGAAATGAAAATCCTTGATGTGCATCTATTGTATATTGACTATGTCATCATAGTAACATCTGATGTGAGAACCGCAGGTGGCAGACTTACCTGTGGACCCCGATGTCCCGAAGGTGTCACGAACCCTCCTCTGACAACACACCACTCGCATCTCACTCACCTGAGTGTGTATCGTGTTGGTTCCATCCGTAGCCTCGACCGTGAGGTTATAGTTTGACTTCTGTTCTGCATCTAGAGGTTTGGCAACAATGATCGTCCCGGTGCCTTTGTCCACATCAAAGTGACTGTCGTAGTTGCCACCTGGTTTAAAGTAGGGCAAATGAGAAAGTAAAAACAGGTAACAGGACGAAAACTTGTCAATGATTTTGTAGTTTTCTAATTGCTAATGGCAGTAAATATACTTTCTGGTATACTGATCAATACTGATCAAGGTGATTCCAAGGAGCTTTCATGTTGAAAGACAAGGGAAGAAGGGCAATGAGAAAGACATCGCTGTCAGTAATGCAAAGTGGAGACCTAACTGTCAAGGAGCGACCAAGTAAAAGGAGGCAAGGAGGCAACTCGGAAAAGAGACAAGCATTGCTGATATTGCCAACGAATTACTGTCGTTTGTGTTTTTAGGGGTTCTCAATATCTCTCTAACATACCTCAGGAGCTATAGAAGAGATCATTTAGTATTCAGGGTTGGCCAGTTAAAAGTTTACTTATTTGAAAAGAATTGTGGCACTTTGGGCATACTGACCTAATAAAATAACTACTAAAAATAAATGTCAACTCAGAAGAAAATAGTGGTAGTTTAACAAGAGTTAGTCATGACTCTTATAAACTATTTGAATTTTTTTCCATTGTTGTCAAACAAAGCATATGAGGCAAAAGTTTCTGGGTTATTCACATCATCCAAATGCATTGCCAATTAATTATACTCTAGATAAAACTCTTTTCAAATCTACTGAACTTGAGATACATCAATGATGAAATGGAATGAAAATGTCTTGATGTGATAATGAAGTTCTACTACTAAATCTCACCAAAAAGCAAAACAACAGCAACAACAACAACACACACACACAACAAAATCTTCAGTTCAAACGAAAGATCTAGGGATGGATGAGAAGTTAGTAGGTTTGCAATGAAAATGGGTGACCATGTACACACTACAAAAAGAAAAAGCAATGGAAGACTACGTAGTCACTGGAAATAAAAAAGTTCTAAAAACGGATGCTTGTATTTCAGATCTCATAATCTGAGGCAAATTATGTGATCTCAGCAGATACCTTCTGCTGTACAGTTCAGGTCACAAGTCATCGGAAAGATGTGAAACACTTCTCTAGCAAGTGTGTCTCCTGGCACAGCCAAAAAGAAGCAAGCAAGCATGGAAGAAAGCACAGAACAAGGAAGAGCCGTCAATCAGACCAGGTCCCAAGGCATCGGGCTTCAACGGCAAAGTTCAGTGCTACATGGGAGCAGCCTGCTCCTCTGGAAACACAATAGGAAGTAACGGGCAGCAAACAAACCATTTTGATTGTGGTTAACTATGAAAACAGCCTCATTGTTTTCCCTTGAAAACTAACCTGTAATGGTTTCGCAGGTGCTGAAGGCATCCACAAAGTCATACATTGACCAGAATGATGAAAACAGCCTGCCTCGTGTGAAAGTTCAAGGGGAAAAGCCCCTGCCACCTGCACCCTACAGTCCGCAGCCTGCGTGCTACCAGCTCAACTCCTGCAACAGCATTTGGGAGCTGTGGCTCGGAGGTAGACGGGGGAAAAGGGATATGAAGGTTTAACTAGAGATGAGTCATAATACGCGCTTTTGGTTTTAAATATCCTTACAATTAAAATAGTGTGAAGAAACAATAAAAATAAACTAAAGTGTAAAAGTCTGATGTGAACTTTTTTAGGTATGTTGGAATAGGGTACTATGTTCTAATCTAAGCTAAATTAAGTGACCAAAAAGACTGGCTTAGGCATACAACTTTTATCACAGGGTAACTTCATCTAGTGAGCCCCGCTTCCTACCGAAAACGAGGTAAATGAAACCTAAAAAATCATGGTTGGCACTACTGGTTTTAAGTTATGGAATTAAAAATTTTAAGCTTATTCTTTATAAAATACCGATGTGCGACAATCACATGGGCACACGTAGTTTAAACATTTAAGTCACATTCACTGAAAATAGTAATGTGCCATATGCTACATATCAAGAAAGAAAAATTGAAGGAAAAATTAAACAGCTGTGTTTTGGGACCAATATGTTTCGATTTCTCTGTAGCGCCTTGGTGTACTTTAAAAAATCTTATTTTCATATTGAGGCAGTACATACAGAGCACCTATTTTAAACAAGTTTAATACACGTTGGATATTGTGATAAATTGCGCAATCAAAACACCGCAAATTAAAACAGATGGGTCTCACTTCCCAACCGTGCATTCTGAGGCAGGAACAAAGCCCAGGGGAGCACAAACAGGGCCTCCTCCGCGTGGCCTGTGCGAGGACGGGGACAGCCAGGAGGAGCACTCACCCGTGATGTCAAACCAGAGAGGGGTGCTGGGAGGCTCCACAGATATCACGCCAATCATGTGGGCGACCGGATCGCTCTCCATCACGGTAAAGGTGAAAACCGACTCCTCGAAAGAGGCGGGCTCCGGGGGTGGTTTGGGTTTGGAGATCCATTCAATATGGAGTCGAGTGGTGGACCACTTTTGGGGGCGACCGTTATCAACGGCCTTAATCTATACAGCAGGGGCAGAGGGGGTACAAATAGCAAATTAGTAGGAGTAACATCCCATAACCGAAGCATGGATCGGTTTGGTCTTAAACCGAACCCATTTCAAACATTTAGCATCTGTATTTGCATATCCCACGCGTTTGATGGGAAGAGCAACCTCTTCCTGCCACACTCAACAAATAGTAAGTGGAGTGACAGCCGAGGAGAGAAAAACAAACCCAGTGTGACATACTTCACAGTGTCAGCTCACAGACACTGAGGCTGTTTGCCGAATTGAGTTGAGAGAAGGAGACATACCACTAGATTAATAATCAATGTGAATGGCAAGGTCAAAGACTTGATCTTAACTCACGGAAAGAATGTCATACTCTCCGGCTCCAGAAAACTTCTTGGATGAAACCAGCCCGGTTTTGGGCTCAATGAAGAACCTGCCGTGCTCGTTTCCCTCCTCGATGCTGTAGGAGATCTCGGCGTTGGGCCCCTCGTCTTTGTCCGTGGCGATGACCCGGTAAATAGGCTCGCGCTTGGCGGTTCGCTCCCGTTCTGGTTTTTCCCGCTCGGGGAGCCTGATTTTGTAGAACTTCTGCAGGAACTGGGGTTTGTTGTCATTTTCATCAAGAATTTTCACAATTACTCTGGCAATGGTTGATTTGGGGGGGCTCCCATTGTCTGTCACGGTGACCTGGTTTTTAAAGGTAACAGATCAACAGATGCGTTTAAAATACACTGTGAGAAGTCAGTGTCTCCTTCCTGATGATGACAATCAGCACCTGCAGAAATATACGCGGCTCACACAGCTCTGTGACGCAGACCACCCCCTCTCTCTGTGACAACTGCCCCGTGAGGGGGCAGAACGCCCTCTTCTTTTCAGACAGGGACTCAGGGAGGGGCAAGAGCTAAGGAAGGACTGGCTGTGAGTCCTGACCCCGCCTCACCAGGCCACCTCTCCTGCTTACATTACCATTCCCATAATGTGACCGTCACCAAAACCTCAAGCTACCAAAAACGTACTATTTTTAAGTCAAGGAAGAGTGATACATGAAGATTTTGTTTTAAGTATCCAGAGTCCTCTTAAAAATATATGTCCACTCCATATACTTAAAAATAAAATCTCTACAGAGTACACTATCATTTTTAAGCTTCATCACTAAAATAAGTTAAATCATAAATTTAAAATATATGGTATGCATTCTGGCTGGTGTGGCTCAGTAGATTGAGAGCTGGCCTGAGAACTTAAAGGTCACAGGTTCGATCCCCAGTCAGGGCACATGCCTGGGTTGCAAGCCAGGTCCCCCAGACAAGCAACAATGTCTCTCTCCCTCCTACCCCCTCTCTCTGAAAATAAATTTTATATATATGTATATATGATAAGCAGCACATCTTTTAATACTGACAGTCATCATTTTATTTTGTTTGGCTCTTGCACACAAGTTTTCCATGTTTAGCAGGGTGGACATAAACATTTGACTTTAAGACCAACTTATGAAATAAAATATTCAGTGAAAGAAATATAAAATAACTTTTATTCTAAATAAATTTTTAATGAGATAAATTGATCAATAAAAATCAGGGATTCTTGAGGATGCACTGGGGCATGCTTCTAGATACAGAAGACACTATTCCACTCTTAAATCAACTGTCGTGCTTACGTCAGTGTATAGGTTAAAGGTAATGACTTTAGTAATACGGGTGTTCTCCCCTCACTCACACCCTCCAAAATTAACTAGTGAAATGCTCAAAACTAAAGCAGACTGGAGGTCCCCATGGGACTGCTTCCTCTTTGAAGCTCGGTGGGTGTGAGTCCTGTTATTCATAAAAGTGTGAATGCATCCTGACGGTACTTGTCAAGAGTATTTAAGTAAAGTAGTTGCTTTGCTTCAAGTGCACGATTTACCTTCCCGAATTCTCAAAACAAAACAATGTAAAAATTGCTATTGTAATTTGAATGCCTCAAAACATTTCTTTCTGAGCAGCTTTCACATGATATTTGGGAAAAAAGAAAAATGGAAGAGAAATACAACCGAGTACTATGCCTCATAGTATTCACCATCAAATTGTCCCTAAGCTTGGATTCAGTACCCAAGAGCCAGTAACACAGTTTTTAACATGTGACTGAAAAAAACTTCCTTCCTTCAGACTGTCAAATCAGAGCCAGCACTGGCCCGCGAGATATGTACCACACACAAAAGGATTACAGGAAAACACAAAAGATGTGAAATCACACGACTATGAAGTCTTATTTCCCATCAATGTCTTTCACAGCATCTTCCAAGTCTTAGGAGCATCCTGAGCCTGTTCCCATGTGGCCTTGACATTCACTGAGACAAGGGGCTGGAGCTTGAGGCGCACGACTGGCTGTGCGGGGACCTGGGGCCGGGCGCCAGCTGGGGGCCTGCTGTCCCGGGTGCCCTGGCCCCGGCTACTTTCTTCAGGAACCGGATTCGCCCCCTGTCAATCACAGTGGCGACGGCATGCAAATGGAAACTCTGCTCTACCACACAAAAAGGAACCCGAGAGGACTGTACAACTCGTGACTAAACAGAGGCAACGCATGGAGAAATTACCGATGGTAACTGGGGCTGTGAAACCACCTTTTCTAGACAGAGTATTCACACACACACACACACACACACACACACACACACGCAGTGCGGACAGAGAGAGAGCTATAAAATGAAATGCTTTACTGAGAACAGAAAATTCTGACTAAGCATGAAATGAAAGTAAGCAAGCGGCATTATGAACAGCAATACGACACAGAGAGGACTTAAAAAGAAACCACTGTTTAGAATTTTTCCAATGACACATACTGAAGAGAATGCAAGAGTTGTCCAGAAAATTCGCAATTAAAAAAAAAAGCTCTTGGTCTTTTCCAGGACTGGCGCTAACACTCAACGCTGGCCTCTAGCACGTGACAGAGAAACATTAACAGGGGTGACAGGGCTGTTCTGCTGGGTTCCCTCTCCAGGGCTGCCTTCTCTCTCCTCACCCTGGTCTGCGGGCAGCAGCACGGTAAACGCCACCGTCCTCCTCCACATGACGCCGGTCCCTGTCCCTGCAGCGTATCTGCTGCCCGCCAGCACGGGCCAGGCAGCCGAAGACAAGCCAGAGACGGCCAGACACTAGAGGCGCTTTAAAAACACTGTGAGAGCGAGATGCTTATCGGGACAGAACATCTTAGAAAAGCGAGTCAGACTTTCAATCTGCTTTTATATTAGAAATTGTTTTAAAGCACAGGCTTCATATAATTCAGTTTCAATTGCATAAACAATCCAACTGGATGAGGCAAAAAAAAATGGAAACACTCTAACTACAGTTTCAAAAGCTGAATTAGATCTACTTATATACATATATTTGAAAAGCGTAACACTGAGGAAAAGATGTAGAAGGTACAAAAAAATCACTCATGTAAATGAAAATAAAATTCAGTAACTGTTCTCACTTTTGTTCACTCTGTGTGTGTGTGAGTGTATGAAGTACAAAAATTATAGTGGGACTTAGGACAGCGGTCTCGCATCCTGGGGACAGAAAGGGATATCCAGGGGACACAGAATATATATTCACAATGTTTTGTTTTCCCTGTTATTAATGACAGGAAGCTAATGTAACAACAATAGTAACAGCTATGAATACTACTTAATATCAACAAGATCGCTCCTTCCCGGGATATTTGTAACTATATTGTTAAAAACAGAGAACAGCTTACTTCCAGTATGTGCTCGTCCTGCTGCTCTCGATCTAGTTTCCTCGACGTCGTCGCGATGAGACCTACGAAAGACAACAGTTCATCAGCCCTTCCAGCAAAGCAAACCGTCACCTCGCGTGGCTGCACTCCTCCGCCTGTGCAGGTCGGCGGAGCAAGTCTCTCAGTTGTTCTCAAGGGGAAAACGATCAATACAAGAACAGTTAATTATTTCATGTCGTTCAACATACTTTACACGTTCTCTTTTTAACCATTCTTAGACACAACAGAGACGCGGCGGAAGTATGAAGAAGGTGAAAAACTCAAGCCCTGGCTGGCGTAGCTCAGTGGATTGAGCGCGGGCTGGGAACCAAAGTGTCGCAGGTTCGATTCCCAGTCAGGGCACATGCCTGGGTTGCAGGCCACGGCCCCCAGCAACTGCACATTGGTGTCTCTCTCTCTCTCTCTCTTTCTCCCTCCCTTCTCTCTATAAACAAGCAAGCGAACAAACAAAATCTTAAAAAAAAAGATGTTGTTTAGATTCCCAGACATCGTAGTTGGTGCTTTAAAAAAAAAAAGAATGTGAAAAACTCAAATCGGTTACATTTTTTGGTTTAGTAGTTTCAATGTTCATCTTGTCAGAAAAGATTTTTAGAACATGAGATGAGATTACCCAGGATTCAACCTGACCCACACCTCCTTTAACTGCTGGCGGAGACGATGAAGAACTGACAGACGTAACTTCCGTAACTCCAGTGAAAAAGACCACTGGAAAACATAATGTGGACTATGCTTCATTACCTTCAAAACATCTACTCTCAAAAACTGTTATAAAAAGAAATGCCATTTTCCAGGTAATGCTTCCCAAATAACAATCATTTAATTTCCAATAGAAGAAGAAAATAAATGATCCTCAGAGCAACCCCCTTATTTCTTTGACTTTCCTATCAAACGACAATCTCCAATTTCTCTCTCTCCAGGACTATGGCAACTGTCTGCTAAACTGCCAACACATGTTGGAGCCTAGAAGATCATTAAAATTGACTGAATATATTCTCGTGCTTCAAAAGAACACAAGCAAACAGAAGCCCCCCGCCACTAGGGTACCATCTGCACGCGGCCCGTGTTATTGATCGGGGACAGCGGACGCTGAGTGGCTGTAATATTCCGTCTGAAGGTCAGGTACAGCCTCCAGTGCCAATCCAACTGGGAGGACTCACCTTTCTGCTGCCCAGCTTCCTGTGGTTTTCCCCGCAGGCAAATGCTTCAGATACTTCAAACAATATTTAAGAACAGACTTTATCACTGTAATTCATTTTCTTTTGTCCTAATTTCACTCAACTGCCCATTAAAGGCTATTTAAAAACCATTTGTCTAAATTTGCAAATGACAGATTTTGATTTGCATGTGATTTGAAGTGTTTTCTTTTCTTAGACACTAAGAATCTAAATCAACACTACCTTCCCCCCACCTCAGTGAAGCAAGGCTCTCCCTAGTTGGGACGACAAAGAGGCTATTGTGCAAGTTAGCATCTGAGGTTTGTCCCAAAACACACCTATAAATTAAAGAGGCCCGAGGAAAATGCTACACAATGCTTCCAGTGTGAAAATGTTGCTTTGGCATTAGCTTGATCTGCATTAGTTAACAAACCTTTCGAAGTTAATTTCTCTTTTTCCTACCCCAAATTTCCCACCCCTCCTGTTCGTGGTGTTCAGTAGTTCAAGAACGACAGGAAGTCACCATGACTGGTCCCGTCTAAGTGTCCCAATGTGCCCACCAAAAAGTTTTTATCGCCGGTAACTTCACAAGGGGCGAGAGCTCGCGTGTTCTCAGCAAAACAATACTCTGCTTCTGCAGAGGATAACCATCCACGGCACGAACATCCGTTAGCAATAGATTTCCGCAGCCAATAATGCCTGTTGGCAACTCAAATTTCCCACTTCCCAGTTTACTTACAGCGCAGCAGACCGAGAATCGGATGTGCCTACATCCACGCTACCGACTGAAAGAGCACAGGCGGAAGACCTGGCCGCCTCTGCGGCGTGGCGTCACCTGCGTGTGCTGTCCGCTTCCAGGGAAGTCTCCTCCAAATTCAAACGGAACCTTCAATACAGTCAAATGCACCGAATCCTCCTGTTCCTTTGTCACTGGCTGTAGCCTAGCTGCTCCCACCCACTCCCCCACCTCCCAGTGCAGACACCGTTCTGGGGCCGGCCCACGGGCCTGGCGGGGGGCCCCACAGCTGGGTTCTCCGAGCTCCTGCATCCCCTCAATCACCCACGGCCCACGGGGCTGCAGTCTCTCGCTGAGATGCCTTCGTCCGCCCACTGCAGAGCCCACGCGGACAGAGGCTGTCCTCCACGTCTGTCTCAGCTACCCTGCTGTATCTCCAGCATCTCAAAGATACTTAAGTGTGTGAGTGCATACATTTCTTACAACCACAAAAGAGCAGAATTTAAGATATGTTTCAGAGAAAGAGAGACGCATAAACGACACTGAACTTGGAACTAATGATACAAATTTACAGCTCATACATACATGAGCTGAAAGAGAGCCATTTAACGCGTACTGACAGCCAAGGCGTGCCAGGCACTGGGACAGGTAGACTAGGTGACAGTGGGGTCCAGCTGACCTTGAGAGGCACAGATGTGAAGTGCAGGGCACCAGTGGGAGGCAGACAAGAGGATCTGGCTCCACGGCGAGTACAGAAGACGGTGTGTGGGACAAAGAGGGAGGAAGAGGGCCCACTGAAACGTGAAGAAAACGGTGGGCCAGTCTTATTCAAGGAAGGGACCTCGATACTGAGAAAGCCACAAAGAAGCCCACGAAGCCACAGCTGGAACAGAACCATGGGCCCCAGAAGCCGGGGGCGGAGACTGTTAGAGAGGAACCCCCCTCCTGCACGTACTCAGGAAACGGGGAGCCAGGGAGGCGGGGCGTCGGTGAGCGAAGGTGTTTCTTTCACAAGGAGGGGGCGGTCTAGCACGCCGACACACAGCAGGTGCAGTGAGCGACAGCTAACGTGAGGAGCAGAGGATCTGGGCCTGGGCGAACCCATGCAGCAGCCACTGGCCCCACATGGCCACTGACATTTAAATGACACACCAGACACAGTTCATGCACTTGTAAGATGGGTCACACGGACTACAAGTCCTTTCTTCCTAGGTTCACAGCCTCCTACCAACGGGAGTCCTACCAGAGTGTCCCAGGCCTTTCTCCGTCCTGACACCACCCCAGGGAGAGGCGGTGCAGCCTGCAGGGTGGCAGGAGCGGGCAAACACCCAGGGGTGCGGGGACCGGGTGCTTCCTGGATTTCATATGAAATGGACCCTGAAGAGGAAGAAGAGAAGCTTCCCAATGAAGCGGGGAAACACGAGGCAAACACTGGGGGCCCTTCAGGGGCGCACCTGACCTTATGGCAACCTGCCACGCTGGGCGCTCACCGGCAGGAAATGCTATCCAAACATCCCGTGCTCCAGCCACACCGATTTAGCTGCGGAATTCAATATTCATTTCACACTTATTTCCACCTCTGTAATCCTACTAACCCTCCCTCCTCGCCTCTGTGGCAAACACCTATTTCAAAAACGAACCCAGTGTATACCTTTCTATACATCTGCTATGTGTTGTTAACCTCGTAGGTGTTCAATAGCCAAAGAGCGGGACAGGGGGCAGGCATCCATTTCTTCTGTTTTAAACATGTGTGCTCACCTGTATGGTTTATCACTAAACCCCAGCCAAAGACGTACACTTAATAAAAACAGTACAATATTTCCAAACTGTAGAGAAACCTCCAAGATGCACAGGTGTCTGAGTCAAAGAGAAATTAAATCATTCCGAGGTCACCAGTAGGTCATCATCACCAGGATGAGAATTTAGTTTTCCTGAGGCCCCGACGAGAGGGTTTTGTTGCTGTTGTTTTTCCCCTCCCCATCACACCACACCGTATAATTTATTGCATTATGGTATTTCAACGCTCCATAAACTCTGAACTGTGACTTACACAACATTTAAGGAGGAAAAAATGGCAATAGTTAATCATTATTCATTTAACGGGTCCATAAACGCAAGTCAGAAAGGAAGATCGTGTGGGCGAAGGCAGGAAAATGCACACGCAAGTGCTGGCATTCGCTTCAGCCTTTTCTGCAAAGCGCTGTTAAATTAAAAATAGATATGAAAAGACAACATTCTCTCTCCTTGGCCTAGAAAAACACCCTATTCCGTAGACCGGTGCTACTATAAATGGAGGTGGGCTGAGAGAATAGATAACCGTATCTTCTCACCAATTAGCAGTTCAAACTTACCCCACGAATGCAGGTAGAACTAAGAAACCAAATTTTCCTATGCTTCATAAATACCATTAAAAAATGTTCTTTAGCCTTTCTATGCTACCTTCGAGAAAAGCTCATTTAAGGAAGAAAGACAATGGCAGATTAACTGTAATGGCTCCACTAGAAAACTTTATACTTGGATATTTCTTACAAATCAATACCAAAACCCATCTCCAAACTGCTCGACATTTAAGAGATTAAATGGCTTTCACGAAGGAGAATGCAGGTGCAATGGGCATCAAAGGGTCAGAAGGTAAAGACGATGTGAGACGTACCCGTCAGTGAAGCTACCCGGATGTATGCATTCAGCTACTTTGTTCTGTGCACTAAGAATGCAGATGATTAAGACACAGTCTTACTGTCAGGGTGTTTAAGAAACAAGGATGGAGGGTGGAAGGTGAAGACTGAATTTGCGAAACAGTAAGACAGCCGAGAGTACTGGGCACACACGGAAAACAGGGGAAAGAAAGCAAGGGCTCTGGCGGAGGGCTCTGCATTCCAAGCAAGTCTGAGCTTGGGTGATGAGACCTGTGACCTAGTCAACCCTGTGGTTCCCGCAGACAGCCAGCCAACGCCCTCTATGCAAATGAGGCCGCCCAGGACCAGCCAGCCTCTAGCCAACCGGCCGGTGACCACCTGCAGGAGAGACCAGCCAGGCCTGGACAAGACTAGAACTGCCCAGCAGAACCCCAACTACATTGTGGTGGTTCTTTGAAGCCACGGAGTTTGGGGATGGTTTGCTATTAAGTTAAGCA